GAAGGCTGCTTCCCATAAAATAGACAATAGAATCATTGAGGAAACGTCAGCAGTCAAGACAGGAGGAACAAGAGGTCATCGTAGTGAAAAACCAAAACAACTTGTATCTTGGCAAGATTGGTTTACAAGTTCATGACAAGAACAAAAATTCCAACATCAGCCAACTGAAAATAAAAGATAAAAAATGACATTCATGGATCTTTTTACTTTTTCTCTGTGCAAAATGCTCTTCTTTCTAAATGAGAGAGGGTAGCTTGTACACTGTGACATGACATGAAATGCTGTGTGCCCAGGGCGCTGCTGGGTGCCAACAGCACCTCTCACTGAATATGATATTATTGTGTGCAGAGAAAATGGGCAATCAGAGGATAAACATAACCTCTCCTGGCTGGAGAACCATTTCTTGCCACTTTGCTGCTGAATTCACTCATTAAACTGCTCAAAGGAAAAGCTCTACCCCGATTTCTGAGAGTCTATAGCAATATATGTAACACAATTATATGTGAAGACTATTGACTAACAGGACAATAGCACATGAACTTTTCCTTCAGAGAATTCAACCAAGAGAAGAGAGTGGGTGGGATAAGCTAGGGGTCAAAAGGAAGGCTCTCAGGAATATTCTCTACCATCCAAAATCAACAGCAAAGCCACAAAAGGGGTATGAGCTCTAACTCACTGAAGAGAACAACACAAAACAGTAACAAAGGGATCTCTTCCCAACACATGCTCCTCTCCATGAGGCTCAACCATCAGTGCAGGGCTTGCCTGATGTGGACAATGTGGATACCTCAGCCCTGAGTTGAACTTGGTCTGCCACCTTTGATTCCCCATGCTGCAAAAAGAATTGGAACGCTCTCAGGTCCTGGCACTGTGGTAATGGCTATACCCTATTTCACTCATAGACGTCCTTTTACTCTCCCTTTCTCAAGCTATTAAACAGAACCCCCTAGGGATCCTGTATGCAGTGAGGGTCTGAACTGATGATCCACATGTCAATCAGTAGTTAGAGAAGGATGACTTTTTTTTTTTTTTTTGAGATAGGGTCCCACTTTGTCCCCCAGGCTGGAGTGCAGCGGCACGATCATGGCTCACTGCAGCTTCAATCTCCCGGGTTAAAGGAATCCTTTCACCTCAGCCTTCTGAGTGTGCACCACCAGGTCCAGCTAACTGTTTTTTTTAACTTTTCTTTTTTTTTTTTTTTCTTGGTACAGGCAAGGTCTCCTTCTGTTGCCCAGGATGCTTTGGAACTCCTGGGCTCAAGCAGTCCTCCTACAAAGTGCTAGGATTGCAGGCATGAGCCACCTGAGCAGGATGACTTAAACCTGATCGATTCTACTCCAAAACAGCAACCATCATTAAGTCAGGGGTGTCAAGGAGGACTCTGACGGGAAAGACTAGACCGGGATGTGTGCCAGTGGGGGATGAGAAGGCCCATCCCTAGCAGACTGCAGGAGAAACTCTGGCATAGAATTCACGGCCAGCCCTATCTAGTGTGATGGGTGACAGGGAGGAGGCATCTGCTCAGTGTTCAAACAAAATCCTCACAAGTTCTGGGGCTGGACCTCTATGTCACTCCTGAATCCCAATGTATCCATTACCTTTGCAAGAAACTGGTGTGATTCTTGTCTGTTAAGGGCAAGACCTGCTTTCTCAATTTACTTGATAATAAAGTAACACCATGGAAAAGAAGAACCTCAGAAAAATGTGGGGTCACCACATGGGCTTTCCCAGTGCTAGCTGCCTGTTTTGGAGTATTAATTACAACCTTTCACAATTCTGAAGGCTGCAACGTAGGCTACAGAGGGCAGTCTGAAAAGAGTCCTTCTGCTTTTGCTTCATGGAGCTTAAGAACAAAAGAGGAGGCCGGGCGTGGTGGCTCAAGCCTGTAATCCCAGCACTTTGGGAGGCCGAGACGGGCAGATCACGAGGTCAGGAGATCGAGACCATCCTGGCTAACACGGTGAAACCCCGTCTCTACTAAAAAATACAAAAAACTAGCCGGGCAAGGTGGCGGGCGCCTGTAGTCCCAGCTACTCGGGAGGCTGAGGCAGGAGAATGGCGTAAACCTGGGAGGCGGAGCTTGCAGTGAGCTGAGATCCGGCCACTGCACTCCAGCCTGGGCGACACAGCGAGACTCCATCTCAAAAAAAAAAAAAAAATAAATAAAAATAAAAATAAAAAATAAAAATAAAAAAAGAAGAAAAGAGGAATTACCAAGGTTGTGGTGGGTTATTTACTCTGGAAATATCTTGGTTACATTGTCCGTGGCAAAAGCGGAAAGCCTAGCTTATGTGGACAGTCGAAAGTGAATGTGTGGGCCATCATTATCTACGACAGAAATGACTCAAGCCCTAGCATGTAATCTCTTAGGGACTTAACAAGTTAAAAAGAAACAAAAAATCATATTGGAAATGGCCTCTTGATTTAATATAAACTTGGTTACAACATTCAAATTTATCTTTACCGAAATTTCACACTGCTCCTAGGAGCCCTAGGAGCATCTGATTCTAAGTTATTCTGAAGGAAAAAAAATTTATTCTGAAATATACCTTATTGGGATGATCACTGGACTTCTATCTGATATAATTAAAAGGCTAAATGGGTTTTAAATAAATACAAGCTAAATTACCTTCTTCTGGGGTTAACAATTAGAATCCCAAATACCCCAACATCTCATCTAGAAAGGCCTTCCCGGCCGGGCGCGGTGGCTCAAGCCTGTAATCCCAGCACTTTGGGAGGCCGAGACGGGTGGATCACGAGGTCAGGAAATCGAGACCATCCTGGCTAACCCGGTGAAACCCTGTCTCTACTAAAAAATACAAAAAAATAGCCGGGCGAGATGGCGGGCGTCTGTAGTCCCAGCTACTCGGGAGGCTGAGGCAGGAGAATGGCGTGGACCCGGGAGGCGGAGCTTGCAGTGAGCTGAGATCCGGTCACTGCACTCCAGCCTGGGAGACAGCGAGACTCCATCTCAAAAAAAAAAAAAAAAAAAAGAAAGGCCTTCCCAGTAATTCTATGAAATTGTAAATGAGACCAATTTTTTTTTTTTGTGAGATGGAGTCTTGCACTGTTTCCCGCGGTGGAGTGCAATGGTGCGATCTCAGCTCACTGCAACCTCCGCTTCCTGCGTTCAAGCAATTCTCCTGCCTCAGTCTCTCAAGTAGCTGGGATTACGGGCACCCACCACAACGCCCGGCTAATTTTTTGTATTTTTAGTAGAGACGGGGTTTCACTGTGTTGGCCAGGCTGGTCTTGAACTCCTGACCTTGTGATCTGCCCACCTTGGCCTCCCAAAGTGCTGGGATTACAGGAGTGGGTCACCGTGCCCGGCCGATGTCAATTTTTGAAAATAGATTTGATCTTTAGGATAAATGCCTGAGTTAGCTGACAAACTCCATATATATGAATATGTTCAAGTGAAATTACCTAAAGAGTAATTTTTTCTTTTCTTTTTTAAGAGACAGGGTCTCACTGTGTTGCCCAGACTGGAGTGCAGTGGCATGATCACAGCTCACTATAGCCTCGACCTCCTGGGCTCAAGTGATCCTCCCACTTCAGCCTCCTAAGTAGCTGTGACTACATGCACAAACCACCACACCTGACAAATTAAAATTTTTTTTTTTTTTTTTTTTTGGCCAGGTGCAGTGGCTCACGCCTGTAATCCCAACACTTTGAGAGGCTGAGGTGGGCGGATGACCTGATGTTGGGAGTTCGAGACCAACCTGACCAACATGGAGAAACCCCATCTCTATTAAAAATACAAAATTAGCCCACATGGTGGTGCATGCCTTTAATTCCAGTTATTCAGGAGGCTGAGGCAGGAGAATTGCTTGAACCTAGGAGGTGGAGGTTGCGATGAGCCAAGACTGCACCATTGCACTCCGGCCTGGGCAACAAGAGCGAAACTCCATCTCAACCAAAAAAAAAAAAAAAAAAAAAATTTTTTTTTTTTTTTCTAGAGACAGGGTCTCACTTTGTTGCCTAGGCTGGTCTTGAGCGATCCTCCCAGCTCAGCCTCCCAAAGCACTATGATTATAGGCATGAGCCATTGAGCCTGGCCTGAGAATTTTCTTTAATTTCAAAAAAATAGCTGCTGCTTCTTTAAAGAGTTTAAAAATTGATGGGTTCAATGGCAAAGCTACACAACAACTCTGAAGTAGAAGGAAAGAGCTCTCTTTATAGTACAACCTCTTTCCAGCATACTGCCATTGGCCAGTAGGGGCAACTGCAAACAAATGGTAGGAGTTGCCCAGGAAGGTATTTGGGTTGGACAAAATGATAGCAACCCTCCAGACCCTGACTCCTTATAAATGGATAGCAATTCATCCATGCAGAATGCACAGAGGTTAAACAAAAACATATAAAAAACCCACAAAATCCCCAACCCAGAAAACCTTTCCTGGCCCTCTACTAACAGTAAAATATGCTAAGCCCAAATTTTCTGCTTTAACATGGGTCCTACTGACCTATCGAGTCTGCTCTGGGGTGCTGACCTGCTGGGTCCTGAGCAGGGTCTTTCCCTAAGCATCACTGTGGGTTTGGAGACAGCTGTAATGTGTGCAGCTGTCAGCAGAAAGTACAGGCCGGGCGCGGTGGCTCAAGCCTGTAATCCCAGCACTTTGGGAGGCCGAGAAGGGCGGATCACGAGCTCAGGAGATCGAGACCATCCTGGCGAACACGGTGAAACCCCGTCTCTACTAAAAAATACAAAAAAAAAAAAAGCGTAACAAGCCTGTAATCCCAGCACTTTGGGAGGCCGAGAAGGGCGGATCACGAGCTCAGGAGATCGAGACCATCCTGGCGAACACGGTGAAACCCCGTCTACTAAAAATACAAAAAAAAAAAAAAAAAAAAACTAGCCAGGCAAGGTGACAGGCGTACTTGTAGTCCCAGCTACTCAGGAGGCTGGGGCAGGAAGAGGAATGGCGTAAACCCGGGAGGCGGAGCTTGCAGTGAGCTGAGACCGCCCCACTCCCCCCCAGCCTGGGCAGAGGGGGAAACCGTCGCAAAAAAAAAAAAAAAAAAAAAAAAAAGACAGTACAATGCCACTGGGCTACATATGTCCACACCATCCACCACCATTTCCCACTGTAAAACCGCAGGCTGCGACTGTGAACAAATGTGGACTTTCTCAAGGGACAAATGAGGAGACTGAAGGCTACATTTCCTCCTTTGAGAACGATCAGAGAGTGTCTACAGTTACACAACAGGTTTTTGCAGACCCTGTGGTAACTTCCAAAGAGTAAGAGTAGCAGCAAGAGAGGAAAGGAGCATGTTTATACTTTGGACTTTGTATCAGGCACTTAAATTGTTGGAGAGACATGCTGTTTTGAACCAAAGATGTAAAAACTGGGTTGGAGTAATCTTTACAAGTGGTCTAATAATGGGCTTTCAGAAGCAAAGTGGAGGTGTGGGTTGAACCTCTGCCCATCCTTTAGTGCTGACTTTCAAGTTTTCTAAATGCCCATAACCACAGCAATGGCAGCAGTGGTGGCAACAGCAGGAACAGTTCTGTCATGTTTGTTTTCTGTATGTGTTCTGTGGCTGACCGGAAGGTTTTGGTGTCACACTAAGAAGGCTCTGGGGTATGGCACACCTACTGCCCGAGGTTGCCCAGATCCATGCTGGAGCCAAACATCTTCACCAGCTGTTCCTCATAGTGTGAGATGTTCCTCTTCATGATGTCCATGCAGGGCCCCAGAAGCCTCTCAAATGCTTGTACATCCATAACTGCATTGTTAAAAAGAGGTGAAGGAGAGAATGAATTCAAGCCATTTCCCTCATGCAAACCTTTTCCTAAACATACCCATTCATGTTGTAGGAGATTACACCTTGGGATACTGGCTACTTGCAAAAAGGGATGTTTCTACATGAATTCAGAAAGACTGTGTCATCCAAGATAGAGACTTTACAGAGTCCAGCAGCACCTGTTCTCCCCATTCTCCCACAGCCCTGGACATCAGTTCTTTTCATATGGCTAAAGGGCCTGCATGCCTGTCTTGCTCACAGGCTGTCATCAACGCTCAAAAATGTTTGCTGAAAGTATCCATTCATCCATCTCTGGTGGTCATATAAACTGCCTAGGCCTAGACAGTAGTAAAAGATGGCAGAATATGTCAAGGTTTGCTGATGGGAAAAAAATATTACACGTTAGAAAAAGAGTATTAATGCATAAAGAACTTTTCTTACCTAAGCATTTGACATCTCCAACTGCATAAGCTGAGGCAGCTCTGGGTTTGTTGGTGACCAGGGCAAGCTCTCCAAAGTACTGCCCCTTATGGCAGCGGGCAATCTCGACCTCCTGGTTCCCACCATCCTTGTTTGATTTAGTCTACAGCAGGCAAAGAACATGACCTAGGCTTACTCCAGGATCACAGCTCGGCATGTCCAGTTGCACACACATGCACTGTTCTCAGCACACTCCACACAATTATTGAGGCACTCACTTTGCAGAAAATTCACTAACTGTACCATGTAAACTCCACAGACTAATTTCAGTGGTCTGGTTTGATCAGAGGAGTTTGCTTTTCACCTAGGGCTCTATCTGAGTCCTAACATTTTTAAGGTAATCTACAGCCATACCACTCTGAACATGCCCAATCTTGTCTAAATAAGGACAATGCTTCTCTTAGGTAATGAGTCACAAACTTGGGCTATTTCTCTGAGTTGAGACTACGCCTTGAACAACACTTTATAGTGACAAAATCCCCCAAGCTCTCCACCTTCTTTTTTTTTTTTTTTTTTTTTTTAAGAGACAGGGTCTCACTCTGTCACCAGGGCTGGAGTTCAGAGGAATGATCACAGCTCATGCAGCCTTGAACTGCTGGCCTCAAGCAATCCTCCTGTCTTGGCCTCCCAAAGTGCTCGGATTACAGGAGTGATTCACTGCTTCTGGCCAACAAATTTCTTTTTAAGTACTATCTGTATCTTAAGTTAGTGGTCCCTCCTCCCTTTTTTTTTTTTTGAGACGGAGTCTTGCTGTTGCCCAGGCTAGAGTGCAGTGGCATGATCTCTGCTCACTGCAAGCTCCGCCTCCCGGGTTCATGCCATTCTCCTGCCTCAGCCTCCCGAGTAGCTGAGACTACAGGCGCCTGCTACCACGCCCGGCTAATTTTTTTTGTATTTTTAATAGAGACAGGGTTTCACCATGTTCGCCAGGATGGTCTTGAGCTCCTGACCTCGTGATCCACCCACCTCGGCCTCGCAAAGTGCTGGGATTACAGGCGTGAGCCACTGCACCTGGCCTCCCTCCTCCCATTTTTAAAATAAGAGTTAAGTAACTAAATTTAAGATAATATACTATAGTGTATTAATATCTAGAGTTGTTTTTTTTTTTTTTAACAAATCCAACTGCTAACCAAAGTGATAATTTAAGTAAAAAATTGTTTAGAATTTTTTAGTAAGAATTAGTCTCGGCTGGGCGCAGTGGCTCAAGCCTGTAATCCCAGCACTTTGGGAGGCCGAGACGGGCGGATCACGAGGTCAGGAGATCGAAACCATCCTTGCTAACCCGGTGAAACCCCATCTCTACTAAAAAATACAAAAAAACTAGCCGGGCGAGGTGGCGGGCGCCTGTAGTCCCAGCCTCTCAGGAGGCTGAGGCAGGAGAATGGCGTGAACCCAGGAGGCGGAGCTTGCAGTGAGCTGAGATCCAGCCACTGCACTCCAGCCTGGGCGACAGAGCGAGACTCCGTCTCAAAAAAAAAAAAAAAAAAAAAAAAAAAAAGAATTAGTCTCAATCTCTAAGAACCACTTTATGTTGTAGGTAGAAAGATAATTTCCTTTTTGGTTAATTTTTAAAGCAAACAAAACTGCTACACTGGCTTACACGGTTTGACCCTTCTTCCTTCTACACTTCCACCCTGTTGCTCTGAAGTTGGTCTGTTCCATCTGAGCCAACTTTCTCTTTCCAATTTCAGTAGCATTCTCTGGAGTTGCAGCCATATTTGTGCCCACTTAGTCCCTTCTCTAGAACAGGAGGGACTTATCACACCATCACATACGCACCAGCTCCAGTATTATGCAGGTTTTCTCGCAATGCACATTCTGATTCAGTAGATCTGGGGAAAAGCCCAGGACTCTACACTTCTGACAAACCTCCCACCCCGCAATATCCCAGTGTCATGCTGCTGCTGATCTTATGCACCTAACACTATGCTGTGATCATAGCAGGTGTCAATGAATATCTGAGAAATCTACAAACATCACTAATTCAAAAACTGTAAATAAAATGACACAGACATTTCAAACTATTGTTTTTTTTTTTTTTCTTTTTGAGAGGGAGTCTCACTCTGTTGCCCAGGCTGGAGTGCAGTGGCGCGATCTCGGCTCACTGCAAGCTCTGCCTCCCAGGTTCACGCCATTCTCCTGCCTCAGCTCCCTAAGTAGCTGGGACTACAGGCGCCCGCCACCACGCCCGGCTAATTTTTTGTATTTTTAGTAGAGACGGGGTTTCACTGTGTTAGCTAGGATGGTCTTGATCTCCTGACCTCGTGATCCACCTGCCTCAGCCTCCCAAAGTGCTGGGATTACAGGCGTGTGCGACTGTGCCCAGCTACTTATTAACTGTTACTCAACATATTTTGCAAAAGTTTTCATATTAGTTCGACTTAGTGTTATATATAACTGTTTTAACAAACTCTATATTCTCAAAAAAAAAAAAAAAGAAACTGAAAAACCTGGTGATGATAGATTTACCGGTAACAGTCATTCCTTCTACTCATAGCTCCTCAGTTTTCTAGGTCACATCATCCATTAAATGACCACAGTTATCCTAGAGACCTCTTCTAGTAGTGCTCTAAAAAGGAAGCTTTCTTCATATTCATCCCTTCCAATCTCTTTTTATTATATAATTTCCCTATTTTCTTTCCTTTTTTTTTTTTTTTTCCAAAGACAGGATTTTGCTCTGTCACCCAGGCTGGAGTGCAGTGGCACAATCACGGTTCACTGCAGCCTCAATCTCTTGGCTCAAGAGATCCTCTTGCCTAGGCCTCAAAAGTGCTAGGATTACAGGTGTGAGACACTGCGCCCAGCCCCATTTTCTTTTTTCTTTTTTTTGATGGAGTCTTGCTTTGTCACCCAGGCTGCAGTGCAGTGGTGCAATCTTGGCTCACTGCAAGCTCTGCCTCCCGGGTTCATGCCATTCTCCTGCCTCAGACTCCCGAGTAGCTGGGACTACAGGCGCCTGCCACTAGGCTGGCTAATATTTTTTGTATTTTTAGTAGAGATGGGGTTTCACTGTGTTAGCCAGGATGGTGTCGATCTCCTGACCTCATGATCCGCTGCCTCAGACTCCCAAAGTGCTGGGATACAGGCGTGAGCCACCGTGCCCGGCCCCAGCTCCCATTTTCTATTAGGGTTTTTATCTTTTTCTTATTGATTTGTAGGCCGATATTCCCTAAATCATTAATTACATGGCAGATGCAAAGGCAGTAAAAATAAGAATATACTAAATCTATATTTAATCTAATCTAAATATACTAAATCTATACTAAATGGGCTTAAACATGGGTCTCTGCCAGTCACACATCTCACATAACAATGACGGTTTGCTGCATTCAACACACTTCACATTATTTAAAGCAAACCGTTACTTTTTGTGTGTACACCATCACCTATAAACTGATAAACTCACCTTGCTTCTAATCAAGATGCTCACTTCACCAGACTCTATGATGTAAAAGCTATCAGCCTTTTCACCCTGAAAGAAAAAGGAGGTCAGGTCAGAGCCATACCTAGTATTGAAGGGGAATAAAGAAATAGTTTACTTTTTCACTGCTTAAGCTCTGATTTGTATTTATTTTTTTAACTCTACAAATGAATCAATAGTAAACAAATTCAGAGTAGGCCGGGCACAGTGGCTCACACCTGTAATCCCAGCACTTTGGGAGGCTGAGGCAGGCAGATCACAAGGTCAGGAGATCGAGGCCATCCTGGCCAACATGGTGAAACCCGTCTCTACTAAAAATACAAAAATTAGCCAGATGTGGTGGCGCGTGCCTATAATCCCAGCTACTGGGGAGGCTGAGGCAGGAGAATCGCTTGAACCAGAGAGTCGGAGGTCGCAGTAAGCTGAGGTCACGCCACTGTACTCCAGCCTGGCGACACAGCGAGACTCCACCTCAAAAAAACAAAAAACAAAACAAAACAAAAAACAAATTCAGAACAAAATGAAGAGGATTCTGATCACTGGGATATCAACCTAACTACAACTGACACATCTCCCACTTTTTAGCATGAACCACTCACATTGATCTCAATGAATGTGCCCAGGTTGCCAAGTGCATAAAGCATCACTGTTCTCATTGCTCATGTTGGTCTGCTATTGAAACCTATGACAGGGACCAGTAGTCAAAGCTGCAGCAGACAATGTCAAGGTGATTCCTGGCTACACCTGAAGTATGGGGTCCAGGGATAATCTTGAACCATTAAATATAACTCTCAACAGGACAGCATGGATCTGGAAGGTTCTGTCTTGGTGAGAGAGGTACTTTGATGTTACCCTTATGAACCTTAGGCTTTTCTTTTGCTTGTTTTATTTTGTATTTTTAATTATTTATTTTTCTGGAAACAGGGCCTTGCTCTGTTGCCCAGGTTGGAGTGCAGTAGTGTGATCATGGCTCACTGAAGCCTCAACCTCCCAGGCTCAAGTGATACGCCTGCCTCAGCCTCCCAAGTAGCTGAGACTACATGTGCACATCACCATGGTCAGCTAATTTTTGTATATTTTGCAGAGACAGAGTTTTGCCATATTGCCCAGGCTGATCTCAAACTCCTGGGCTCAACTGATCCACCCACCTCTGCCTCCTAAAGTGCTGGGATTACAGGCATAAGCCTACTTGTTTTGATTTTAAACCACATGGTTGAACCAGTCATTTACTTAATTCAACAAGTAATTTATTTACCAAGTTATTTACTATGTGCAAGGCAAGGCACTGTTTTAGGCATGTGAAATATACCCAGTGGAAAAAACGAATACCCCTTGGCCTTGTAGAACTTACAGTTTGACAGGGTAAACAAACTTTAAACAGTCAACATAATAAATCAGTAAATTATATTGTTCTGTTGCAAGGCGATAAGTGCTACACAAAAAGAGTGAAACAGGGAATGTGAGATCTGGAGTGCTGGGGAAGGAGTGGGTATCCTATATATGAGAGCTTTACTGAGGCTGGGTGTGGTGGTTCATTCCTGTAATCCCAGCACTTAGGGAGACCAAGGCTGGAGGACTACTTGAGGCCGGGAGTTCAATACTAACCTGGACAATACAGTGAGACTCTGTCTCAACAAATAAAAAATTTAGAAAATTAGCTGGGCACAGTGACATATGCCTGCAGCCCCAGCTACTAGGGAGGCTAAGGCGGGAGGATCACGTGAGCCTAGGAGGTGAAAACTGCAGTGAGCCATGATCCTGCCACTGCACTCCAGCCTGAGCAACAATGAGATCCTGCCTCTTAGGAAAAGGAAAAAAAAAAAAAAAAAAAAAAAAGGAGCTTGAGAAGGTGAGATTTGAGCAAAGACCGGGAGGACGTCTGAGTTAGGCATGCAGATATACGTGAAGCAGCTTTCAGGCACACTTCATTCAGTTTCTGACCCCTCACTATTAACTTCTGGAACAAATACCATCTACATCAGATAATGCAATATTACTCGTGCACTCTCACTCTGTGTGGGTCTTAGGTCTTCAGTGAGAATCTACTTCTTAGGCTTTCACAAACTTCATGTCCTTTGACCATCACATAGAGCCCCACGTGGGCACCATACACAGCTAGGATGACGTTTCTGAGTCAATCTAATCCCAGGACATATCACTGCCCCATATAAGTAAATGCCACAGCTTTACAAAGGGGTACCTGTGGGTTTCTGCCCTGCTATGTTGGGTAGGTATCCTACAACCAGCAGAGCCAAATGACCATGAAGTTCTAGCATTACACAAATAGCTGCATGATAGGAGCTAACAAAGGATGAAGAGCCATGAAAGAAACTTGGCAGGAGCCAGCAGCAGAGTCACAAAGAGGGAGAGGTTATTTCACCAAGAAGAGGGTGATGAAAAGGAAAGATCTGTGTGGTAGGAAAGATCTGCAAGTGATAGGTGGTGAAGGATAGTGCTTGAGCCCTTTTTGTTTAGATAGGTGTATAACATCCACCATTTAAAGTGCTCACATTTCAAGGCTATATAGATTGATGACTTTTTGCAAATGTATAAACCTGTATAACCACCTCCTAGATCAAAATAGAAAATATATCCATACTCCAAAAGGCTCCCTCTGGAGTTCAGTCAAAAATACCACATTCCCACCCATGAAGTAACTATATCTAATTTCTGTCCTTGTAGGTTTTGGCCATTCCTTAATATAAATGGAGTCATACATTTTTTGTATTTGGCTTCTTTTAGTCCATATTGTCAGATCATACTTTGAAAGTCTCTGGCTATGCAAGAAATTAGGCTGGTAGCCAGAATAGAAACAAAGTGAGGGAAGGAGTGTATGTGTGTTTTGAAGACAGCAAAGGCCAGGCACGGTGGCTCACACCTGTAATCCCAGCACCTTGGGAGGCTGAGGGGGGCGGACTGCTTCAGGCCAGGCGTTCAACACCAGCCTGGGCAACATGGTGAAACCCCGTCTCTACTAAATACAAAAAAGGCCACGTGTGGTGGCTCACGCCTGTAATCCCAGCACTTTGGGAGGCTGAGGTGGGCAGATCACCTGAGGTCAGGAGTTTGGGACCAGCCTGACAAACACGGTGAAACCTCATTTCTACTAAAAGTACAAAAATTAGCCAGGCGTGATGGCGTCATTGTTATCCTGTACACATACCCTAGTCTCTGCTGTCTTCATTTTTTTTTCCTTTTCTTTTTTTTTTTTTTTGAGACAGTCTCACTGTGTCACCCAGGCTGGAGCACAGGGGCATGATCTCGGCTTAGTGCAACCTCCACCTCCTGGGCTCAAGCAATTCTGTTGCCTTAGCCTCCTGAGTAGCTGGGATTACAGGCGCACACCACCATGCCTGGCTAATTTTTTGTATTTTAGGTAGAGATGGGGTTTCACCTCCACGTTGCCCAAGCTGGTCCTGAACTCCTGAGCTCAGGCAGTCCACCCGCCTTGGCCTCCCAAAGTGCTAGGATTACAGGCATGAGCCACCGCACCAGGCCTTTTATTTTTTTAGACGGAGTCTCTTTTGCCCAGGCTGGAGTACAGTGGTGCAACCTCCACTTCCCAGGTTCAAGTGATTCTCGTGCCTCAGCCTCCCAAGTAGCTGGGATTACAGGTGTGCACCAGTACTCCTGGCTAATTTTTGTGTATGTATGTATGTATGTATTTTATTTATTTTTGAGACAGAGTTTCGTTCTTGTCGCCCAGGCTGGAGTTCAATGGTGTGATCTTGGCTCACCACAACCTCGGCCTCCCGGGGTTTAAGTGATTCTCTTGCCTCAGCCTCCTGAGTAGCTGGGATTAGCTGGTCTCGAACTCCCAACCTCAGGTGATACACCTGCCTCAGCCTCCCAAGGTGCTGGGATTACAGGCGTGAGTCACCATGCCCCACCAAGTATCCTGCTTTTCAAGTTCACTACTAGGCTCTGTGTACCCATCTCACAGAAAGAACATTCCATTCTACATTCAAGAGTAAAGCAGCCAGACTGTACTGCATTTTAGGTCTTTGTGAACATGTCATCAGGTTTTTATATGTCTCTTTTTCACAATAGATAATATAAGATCCACATTCCACTATAAGAACAACTGAAGCCCTAATTTTCAGGATATGGGAATCTTTTGGGTTTAATGCAATGGTACTTTAATAGTGAAAACATAAAACATGATTTTGTAAAATTAAAGCTACCTTCTGTCTACATTATTCTGAGAATAAGCTAAATATTCTATCGATTATGAAAATTACTTGTGAAAATTATGCAAGTCATTAAAAAACAAAAATGTAGGCCAGGCGCTGTGGCTCACAACATCCCAGCACTTTGGGAGGCCAAGGTGGGCGGATCACCTGAGGTCAGAAATTTGAGACCAGCCTGGCCAACAGGGCGAAACCCTGTTCTCTACTAAAAATAAAAAAATTAGCCGGGCATGGTGATGCATGCCTGTAGTTCCAGCTACTCAGAAGTCTGAGGCAGAAGAATCACCTGAACTGGGGAGGTGAAGGTTGCAGTCAGCCGAGATTGTACCATTGCACTCCAGCCTGGACAACAAGAGCGAAACTCCATCTCAAAAAACAAAAAACAAACAAAATAAAACAAAACAAAACACAAAAATGTAGTCAGGTGTGGTGGCACAAGCCTGTAATCTCAGCTACTTGGGAGGTGAGGTGGGAGGATCACTTGAGGCCAGGAGTTCAAGACTAGCATGGGCAACATAGAGAGACCCTGTCTACAAAAAATTTAAAAATTAGCTGGGTGTAGCCTGGGCACGGTGGCTCACACCTATAATCCCAGCACTTTGGGAGGCCGAGGTGGGTGGATCACCTGAGGTCGGGAGTTCACAGACCAGCCTGACCAACATGGAGAAACCTTGTCTCTACTAAAATAAAATAAAATAAAATAAAATAAAATAAAATAAAATAAAATAAAATAAAATAAAGTAGTTGGGCGTGGTGGTGCATGCCTGTAATCCCAGCTACTTGGGAGGCTGAGGCAGGAGAATCTCTTGATCCTCTGCCAGCAGGCGGGGGTTGTGGTGAGCTGAGATAGTGGCATTGCACTCTGGCCTGGGCAATAAGAGCAAAACTCAAACTCTCTCTCAAAAAAAAAAAAAAAAAAAAAAGAATTAGCTGGGTGTGGTGGCACTGCTTGGAAGGCTAAGGGAAGAGTATTGCTTGAGCCCAGAAGCTCAAGGCTGCAGTGAGCTACAATCGCACATTGTACTGAAGCCTGAAAGACAGAGCAAGACCTTGCTTCTAAAAGACAAAAACAAGGCCGGGCGCAGTGGCTCACGCCTGTAATCCCAGCACTTTGGGAGGCAAAGGTAGGAGGATCACGAGGTCAGGAGATCAAGACCATGCTGGCTAACACTGTGAAACCCCATCTCTACTAAAAATACAAAACATTAGCCGGGCATGGTGGCAGGCGCCTGTAGTCCCAGATACTTGGGAGGCTGAGGTAGAATGGTGTGAACCTGGGAGGCAGAGCTTGCAGTGAGCTGAAATCGTGCCACTGCACTCCAGCCTGGGCGACAAAGTGAGACTCCATCTCAAAAAAACAAAACAAAAACAATAAAAATAATTCAAAATGGATCACAGACCTAAGGTAAGAGCTAAAATTGTGAATGTCTACAGCTGTACTGCTTAATACATTAGCCACTAGTCAAATGTGGCTCAGCACTTGAAATGTTGCTAGTATAAACTCAGATGTACTAAAGATGTAAAACATACATTAGATTTTGAAGACTTAGTATTAAAAATGTAAAATATCTCATTAATAAAGTTTTTTATCACTTAGATGTAACAATATTTTAGATATACTGGTTAAATGAAATATATTAAAATTAAGTTGACTATTTCAAGTATCTACTGAAAGTTTTTATTTCTTCAATTTTTTTGAGACCAAGTCTTGCTGTGTCCTCCAGGCTAGAATGCAGTGGCATGACCTTGGCTCACTGCAACCTCTGCCTCCCAAGTTCAAACGATTCTCGTTCTTAGACCTCCCAAGTAGCTGGGATTACAGTTGTGCACCAGCAAACCTAGCTAATTTTTGTATTACTTTTTAGTAGAGATGAAGTTTCGTCATGTTGGCCAGGCTGGTCTCGAACTCCTGGCCTCAAGTTATCTGCCTCAAGCTATTCAGCCTCCCCAAGTGCTGGGATTACAGGCATGAGCCACCCTGCCTGACCAAAGATTTTTAAAATTACATATGTGGCTCACATGTTATTTCTATTGAACAGTGCTGGTCTTGGAAGTAAACTTGGGAGAAAATATTATTGATTTTGCAAAGATTTCCTAAAATACAGCAGCAAAAGTACAAACTACAAAGAAGAAAAGATGATAAACTAGACTTATCAAAATTAAAACTGTTTTCTCTTCAAAAGATACCATTAAGAAAATGAAGGCTAGGCATGGAGGAGCATACCTATAATCCCAGCACTTGGGAGGCCAAGGCGGGCAGATGGCTTGAGCTCAGAAGTTCCAGACCAGGCTGGGCAATATAGCAAGACCCTGAGTGTATTTTTTTTTAAAGGCTGTAAATACTATTTACTGTTGAGAATGCAGAGCAACTGAATTTTCATGCATAGCTGGTAGGAATACAAAACAGTACAGCCATTTTAAGACAGTTTGGCTGTTTGTTATGAAGTTAACATATAATTTAGCAATTGCACTCTTAAGTATTTACTAAAGAGGCCAGCCTGGCAAACATGGTGAAATCCCATTTCTACTAAAAACAAAAACAAACAAACAAACAAAATTAGCCAGGCATAGTGGCACATGCTTTTGGTCCCAGCTACTCGGGAGGCTGAGGCACAAGACTTGCTTGAATTCGGGAGGCAGAGGTTACAGTGAGCTGAGATCATGCCACTGCACTCCATCTTGGGTGACAGAGCGAGACTCTGTCTCAAAAAAAAAAAAAAAGTATTTACTGAAGAGTAGTAAAAACATATGTCTACACAAAGGATGGGCATGGTGGCTCACGCCTGTAACCCTAGCACTTTGGGAGGCTGAGCTGGGCGGATCATTTGAGATCAGATATTCAAAACCAGCCTGGCAAACACGGTGAAACCCTGTCTCTACTAAAAATACAAAAATTAGCCAGGCATGGTGGCGTGAGCCTTTAGTCCCAACTATTCAGCAGGCTGAGGCATGAGAATCGCTTGAACCTGGGAGGCAGAGGTTGCAGTGAGCTGAGATTATGTCACTGTACTCCAGCTTGGGTGACAGAGCAAGACTGTGTCTCATTAAAAAGAAAAAATAATGGGAGGCTGAGGCAGGAGAATTGCTTGAATGTGGGAAGTGGAGGTTATGGTGAGCTGAGATTGCACCATTGCACTCCAGCCTGGGCAACAAGAGCAAAACTCCGTTTCAAAAAGAAAACAGAAAAATGAAAAAAAAAAAATTACATTTGTACAATGAAATATTATTCAGCAAAAGGAATGATCTACTGATACATACAACATGGATAAATCTCAAAAATATTATGCTAAGAGAAAGAAACCAGATACAAAAACTATACATTACATGATTTCATTTATATTAAATTGTAGAAAGGAATTTCTACAGTGATAGAAAACATCAATGGTTTCCAGGAATGTGAGTGTGGGGGAGGGTAGTGACTGCAAATGCAAATACAAAACAAGGAACTGTATGGGTGATGGAAATACCACACTGGGGATGGTTACAAAACTCTTCCAATTTGTACACTTAAAACTTAGTAATTTTATTGTATGTAAAACACACTGTAACAAAGCTGACCAAAAAAAATGAAACAACATAAAATGTAGTTTCTGATTCAGCAGGTCTAGTGGGGGGCCCAAGCACTTGCATTCCTAACAATTCTAACATTCTCAGATGATGCTGATTGCTGCTGGTCCTGGGATCTCACTTTGAGAAGCCTTGGTCCAGTGAGAGACATTGACAAAAGGGGCCTATAATAAGCCCCTTTTAATATCATCTTAATTAATGTCCATTCTGTACCACTACCTGTCTACCTTGAAGATAGAAAGTACTCTATCTTCAAGAGCACAGACAATCAAGAAAACACTATGACTTTTCACATCTCCTGACATACTTCGTGAAAACCCAGTATGAGACAGGCCTAGAACCTTCAGGATGAATTGGAGGTCCTTTGAATGTTACTTAAAGCACCTTAAATTCAGAAGCAAATGTGGCCAGTTAACATCTCCCATTTCTGAAACTCAGTCCTACATTCTTACCATACCAGGAAACCTGCTCTGAAACACAGCTCACACCACTGGCCTTTGCTAATATTGTTTTTTGCTCTGAAGGACCTTTCCCTGATTTCAAACATTGAAATTGCACTTGTTTTTTAAGCCCATCTCAAATGGCATTTCCTTGATGAAACCGTATGTATTACTTCCATTTCTATGTTCTCACTGTCGTTCATACACTGCTTCATTATAGTGCTTATCTGGTCCTACCTATCTTAATAAATGTTTACAGAATGTATCAATTTCTAATTAAAAGAATTATTAATAGTAAGGGCTCCTAGAAAACAAATACATTCAGAGATGTGACTCAGAGTAGACATCATATTTTTGTTAGTCCTTTATCTCTTCCAGGGGAGCTTTCTTTTCCCCTTTTACAGTAAGTCTGATTAGTCCTTGTGGTTCTAGTGGGGCCAACTCCACCCACAGGACCCACGCCTGACCAATCTGAGCCTTTCCTCCTCGTGGTCTCAGTACTGGGTTCAAGGATAAGCATATCACCCAACCTAGGCCAACCATGTATCTTCTCAGTGCTCTTGAGCCAGAACCATAGGCAGAGAAGCTGACACCTGAAAAAGTCCAATACTATTTATGTTTTATTAAAAATACAAACACAGTGGATAAAGAAAATTATTAGACAGTACTCATTACAATGATCTAGCCCACTGTTTAGTAATCCTTACTGTATCCCAAAATAACATAAGAAAAATGCACAAAGGAAATACCAGACATCTTACAAATTTGGTTAATCACTGAAGACTGTGGACTCTGATTTGTGTTAGATTAGCCAAAAGGATGCCTTTGTGTCAAACATAGAAAGTTAGAGGGCAGAACTCTTTTAACCTTCCCCAGGTTCTAACAGCAATGGATGAAACTTACTTAAGGTCAAAAGAAAATCACATCCAAAGAACAAACACTAGAAGCCAAAGAAAGGTGAGTGGAAGCAAGAGATCTGCATGTGTCAGTAAGACGGACATCAATAAGCTTCAGGGGACTATATAATTGTCCTCTGAAGTGTGATCTATTACCTGGTAATAAGAGCTCCCAACAGTGGGAGAACATAGAAGTTTTTTTTTGTTTGTTTTTGTTTTTAATTTGAAATGGAGTCTCGCTCTGTTGCCTAGGCTGGAGGCAGTGGCACAATCTCAACTCACTGCAACCTCCGCCTCCTGGGTTCAAGCAATTCTCCTGCCTCAGCCTCCCGAGTGGCTGGGATTACCCAACTAATTTTTGTATTTTTAGTAGAGACGGAGTTTCACCATGTTGGCCAGGCTGGTCTCGAACTCCTGGTCTCAAGTGATCCACCTGCCTCAGCCTCCCAAAGTGTTGGGATTACAGGCGTGAGCCACTATGTCTGGCAAGAAGTTTTTGAGATAAATGATGTACTAGTTATTCAGGGGTGACTTCCAGGAAAGGAGCTGTGTAAAGCCCTCACTCACCTGAGTGATTATGCGTTCTCCATCCTTATAGATCTTCTCTCCTATTACATCCACTATCTTCATTCGTTCTGACACCTGAAACAACAGACAAATTCAGAAATAAAAGGAAAAGACCTTAACTGAAAGTCACAATAGCTATGCAACACAGAAATGGGATTAGAATAGTATGATTTGAACAACAGAATAGTTTTAAAAGCTTTTCCTGATCCCCATGAACAGATTCTCATTCAAGCCACTTTACCTCTAGTGATTTAAGGAGGGGCACAGACTCAATAAATGATTCAAACATCTTCCTCTTCTTTGCATTATTTTTCACTATGATTCTTCTAAAAGTCACCCGGTCCTACAAGAAAGAATATGAAAATTCTAATAAATGCCTATATACAGGAACATCTATGGTTTAATAAACTGGCCAAAGCAAATATTAGAGGAATATGTAAGTTACTGTGTTAATTAAGTGTTAATTGATACTTTAATCTTGAGTCATCAATGGAAGAAAAGGACCTGTAGCCTGAGCCAGCCAGTTGCCCACATGCTGTTGTTTGCTATCTAACACTCAATAGGTGCCACCTATGGGTCATAAATAGAACACAAAACAGAAAACGCCTAAACATTTGTGAGCTCACTGTCACTGTTCAATGTCATAAAAGATACCTCTAGTGAGCTGAGATTATGTCACTGCATTCCAGTCTGCGTGACAGAGTGAGACCCTCATTTCAAAAAAAAAAAAAAAAGACATCTCACCAAAAGAGAGAATAAAACAATCATTTAATCCTTAGAATCCAGAATTTTAAAAAAATTTTTAAATCCAAAACAATTAGATTGTTCTTGCTCTAAAAAAGTTTATAATCTTAATGGGAAGATAATACAAAATATCAAAATATGAAGCTTGGCTGAATGCAGTAGCTCACTGTCTGTACTCCAAGCATTTTGGGAGGCTAAGGTGGGCAAATTGCTTGAGCCCAGGAGTTCGACACAAGCCTAGGCAACATGGTGAAACACCTGCTCTTCGAAAAAATACACGAAAAAAGTTAGCTGGGCATGGTGCACATGTCTGTACTCGGGTGGTTGAGGTGAAAGGCTCACCAGAGCCTGAGAGGTCAAAGCTACAGTGAGTTATGATTGTACCACTGCACTCCAGCCTGGGCAGCAGAGCGAGACTATGTCCCCAAAACAACAATATTAACAACAACAACAACAAAATACATAGGAATAAAAAGTCTACATTTCACGAATGGGTGCAGTGGCTCACACCTGTAATCCCAGCATTCTGGGAGGCCATCAATGGATCACTTGAGCTCAGGAGTTCAAGACCAGGCTGGGCAACATGGTGAAACCCCATTTCTACAAAAAATACAAAAATCAGCTGGGCACGGTGGTGTGTGCCTATAGTCCCAGCTAGTTGGGAGGCTGAGGTTGGAGAATCACTTGAGCCCAGGGGGCTAAGGTTGTGGTGAGCCGAGATTGCACCACTGCACTCCAGCCTGGGTGACACAAGTTGAAACCCTGTCTCAAAAAAAAAAAAAAAAAGTCTACAGTTCAAGACAGGCATATGAGCACATGAAATGTGCTTGGTGAAACTACAGAAGACAAGTGCTACATAAATTTCAAGGTAAGAAGGGGAGATCACGGTAGGCAGGAGTGATCAAAGATTATTTTGCAGCAAAAATGTCTGGGACCTGAAAGAGAGGTAGGATTAAAGTTAATGAAGAGACATGGGAGGAATATGCAAGATGGAAGGCAGGCATATAAAAGATACCTTGACTCTAACAAGTCATGGATTCCTTTTGTTTTATTTTTCAGATGGGGTCCCCCATTGTTGTCTAGGCTGGCTTTGAACTCCTGGGCTCAAGTGATCTCCCTACCTCAGCCTCCCAAGTAGCTGGGACTACAGGTGCACAACACTGTGCCTGGCTTAGTAAGTAATGGATTCTGATCAGGAGACAGTTAACCAAAGCCAGGCACTTCTCAGATATTTGTACACATGTGCAGGGAGATACACATGAGAATGTTAATTGCTTAGTCTTAGATTCCTAAATGGGCAAGCAGTTATTTGTATCTAAGTTAACTACCTTTCTTCTACCTCAGGCTGTCAGGAATAAATATATATACACACACACACACACACACACATATATATATATATATATTTTTTTTTTTGCTAGAAAGTATAACAATGGGCTGGGCAGTGGCTCATGCCTGTAATCTCAGAACTTTGGGAGGCCAAAGCGGATGGATCGCTTGAGGTCAGGAGTTCAAGACCAGCCTGGCCAATATGGTGAAACCCCATATCTACTAAAAATACAAAAATTAGCCAGGCGTGGTGATGGGCGCCTGTAATCCCAGCTACTTGGGACACTAAGACAGGAGAATCATTTGAACCCGGGAAGCAGAGGCTGCAGTGAGCCAAGATCATGCCACTGCACTCCAGCCTGGGTAACAGGGCGAGACTCTGCCTCGAAAAAAAAATAAAAACAAAACAATATTTTAGGCTGTGTGTGGTGGCTCATGCCTGTAATTCCTGCACTTTGGGAGGCCAAGGCAGGAGGATCGCTTGAGGCTAGGAATTCAAGACTAGCCTGGGCAACACAGGGAAACCTAGTTAAAACACAAAAACAGGCCGGGCGCAGTGGCTCATACCTGTAATTCCAGCTCTTTGGGAGGCTGAGGCGGGTGGATCACGAGGTCAGGAGATTGAGACCATCCTGGCTAACATGATGAAACCCTGCTTCTGCTTAAAATACGAAAAATTAGCTGGGCATGGCGGCAGGCACCTGTAGTCCCAGCTACTGGGGAGGTTGAAGCAGGAGAATCACTTGAACCTGCGAGGCGGAGCTTGTAGTGAGCCAAGATCACAGCACTGCACTCTAGTCTGGGAGACAGAGCGAGACTCGGACTAAAAAAACAAACAAACAAACAAACAAAACCCCACAAAAACAGAAAACCCCAATATTTTATTTATTTATTAAAAAACAAAAACAAAAACAAAAACATACAGGCTGGGAACAGTGGCTCACGACTGTATTCCCAGCACTTTGGGAGGCCGAGGTGGCTGGATTGTTTGAGCCCAGAAGTTTGAGAACAGCCTGGGCAACATGGCGAAATCTGTCTGCACAAAAAATACAAAAATTAGCCAGGCATGGTGGCGTGCACTTGTGGTACCAGTTACTGGGAGGCAGAGGTGGGAGGATCACTTGAGCCCTGGGAGGTGAAGTTGTAGTGAGGTGTGAGGGCACCACTGCACTCCAGCCTGACCAACAGAGTGAGACTGTCTCAAAAGATAGACAGATAGATAGATAGACACACACACACACACAGATAAAACAAAAGGCCTGGCGCAGTGGCTCACACCTATAATCCCAGCATTTTGGGAGGCCAAAGTGGGCGGATCACTTGAGGTCAGGAGTTCGAGACCAGCCTGGCCAACATGGTGAAACCTTGTGTCTATTTTTTTTTTTTTTTTTGAGACGGCGTCTCGCTCTGTCGCCCGGGCTGGAGTGCAGTGGCCGGATCTCAGCTCACTGCAAGCTCCGCCTCCCGGGTTTACGCCATTCTCCTGCCTCAGCCTCTGGAGTAGCTGGGACGGCGCCTCGCCCGGCTATTTTTTTGTATTTTTTAGTAGAGACGGGGTTTCACCGTGTTAGCCAGGATGGACTCGATCTCCTGACCTCGTGATCCGCCCGTCTCGGCCTCCCAAAGTGCTGGGATTACAGGCTTGAGCCACCGCGCCCGGCCCAAACCTTGTGTCTATTAAAAATACAAATATTAGCCGGGCATGGTGGTGCACACCTATAGTCCCAGCTACTCGGGAGGCTGAGGCACGAGAATTACTTGAACCCTGGAGGCAGAGGATGCAGTGACCTGAGATCACACCACTGTATTCCAGCCTGTGTGACAGAGACTCTGTCTCAAAATAAATAAATAAATAAATAAAAATTAAAAAATAAACACACAGAGGGCAGCAAAGTTAACTCCCAATATTTTATAAATCTACCTATATGTGTTACAAAGATTAGTATAACTGCAATAGCAAACAATATTTCGGCCAGGCACGGTGGCTCACGCCTGTAATCCCAGCACTTTGGGAGGCTGAGGTGGGTGGATCACTTGAAGTCAGGAGTTCGAAACCACCCTGGCCAACACAGTGAATTCCCATCTCTACCAAAAATATAAAAAAGTAGCCAGTATTGTTGGCACATGCCTATAATCCCAGCTACGCGGGAGGCTGAGGCAGGAGAATCACTTGAACCCGGGAGGCGGAGGTTGCAGTGAGCCGAGATCATGCCACTGTAGACTCCAGCCTGGGCGACAGAGCAAGAGTCCATCTCAAAAACAACAACAACTACAACAACAACAACAAATTTCTAACTAAAGAGAAAACAACAAATATCTCTTAAAGCGACTTTTTTTTTTTTTTTTGAGATGGAGTTTCGTTCTTGTTGCCCAGGTTGGAGTGCAATGGTGCAATCTTGGCTCACTGCAACCTCCGCCTCCCAGATTCAGGTTCAAGAGATTCTCCTGCCTCGGCCTCTGGAGTAGCTGGGATTACAGGCATCGCCACCATGCCCAGCTACTTTTGTATTTTTTAATAGAGACAGGGTTTCTCCATGTTTGTCAGGCTGGTCTCGAACTCCCGACCTCAGGTGATCCACCCGCCTTGGCCTTCAAAGTGCTAGGATTACAGGCATGAGCCACTACACCCAGCAAGTGACTTTTTTTTTTGAGACAGAGTCTCACACTGTCACTCCGCAGGCTGGAGTGCAGTGGCATGATCACAGCTCACTGTAGCCTTGACCTCTTGGGCTCAGGTGATCCTCCCACCTCAATGTCCCAAATAGCTGGGACTACAGGCATGTGCCGCCACATCAGCTAATTTCCTATTTTTCGTAGAGACAGGGTTTCACCATGTTGCCCACACTGGTCTTGAATTCCTAGGCTCATGTGATTTGCCCACCGTGGCCTCCCAAATTACTGAGATTACAGGCACGAGTTACCACACTCAGCTGGTTCTAACCCTTTTTATGCATGCTTTAACACTTCCCAAAACTCTCTTTTCATGTGGTGCAAATTCAGTTCCTATGGCTGTGGAGAATATAAAAAAGCACCAGACATCAACACAGCCTTTGAGAAGCATCCAATCGAGCACTGAAGAGGAAATTCCCACAGGAAGCAAGTGCTCAGAGGCAAGCAAACAGCCCTGAAGTTCAAAAGAGAAAAGGAGTGCTACTCTCTCCAGTGACTGCAGGAATTTCCCAGGAAACCTTCTACTGACTTTCAATAAAGCAAGAGAAAGCAGAAGAGACTAAGTACAGGGGCCATGATGGCAGCTGCCCACTATAAAAGCAGGAATGTAGGATCCAACTTGGGAAACTCAGTGACAACAACAGATCCTCCCTACTTCCACCTCAGCAGGCATTTCCAAGGCCTTGTGAGGTTGAAAGAAGAAGTCAGGCTGGAGAGGACCTTCTGTGAGTTACTTTCCTAGAGGTGGTATTGAAGCTTTGAAAGAGTCTAGGCTTGCAAAGCAAGTGAATGAACAGGAGAAAAGTAGAGTCCAAAAGAACATCTTGATAGGTCACTGACCTATCAAGAAAGCAAGGAGAGGAGGAATGACTGCCAAAGGCAAGGAAATAGAAGGAACAGGAGTCTTAGGAAAGGAAGTCTCAGGAAAAGAGGGGTGGTGAGTAGCACCATGGCCATAGGGAGCTTTTGCCATCATTCTGTGAATACCCACCTTGTACCAGGCACTAAGGGAGTCGCTTCTCTTATGCCCATGTATTTAATCCTAATACCCCAGTCACAATGCAGGTGGTTTTACAGCTCAATATATAGTTTTCAATTTTCACTGAGACTTTGTCTTAGAGATTATCCAAGAATGGGTTATTTGGCTGGGTGCTGTGCTCTTGCCTGTAATCCCAGCATTTTGGGAGGCCGAGGTGAGCAGATCACCTGAGGTCAGGAGTTCGAGACCAGTCTGGCCAACAAGGTGAAACTCCATTTCTACTAAAAATACAAAATTTGGTTTTTGGCCCAGAGCAAGATGGCCGAATAGGAGCAGCTCCAGCCTCCAGCTCCCAGTGCAAGAGACACAGAGGACGGGTGATTTCTGCATTTTCAACTGGGGTACCGGGTTCATCTCACTGGGGAGTGCTGGACAATCGGTGCTAGTCAGCTGGTGCAGCCCGACCATCAAGAGGTGAAGCAGGGTGAGCCACTGCCTCACCTGGGAAGTGCAAGGGGGAAGGGAATCCCTTTTCCTAGCCAAAGGAAACTGAGACACACAACACCTGGAAAATCGGGTAACTCCCACCCTAATACTGTGCTTTACCAAGGGTCTTAGCAAACGGCACACCAGGAGATTATATCCCACACCTGGATGGGAGGGTCCCACGCCCACAGAGCCTCCCTCGTTGCTAGCACAGCAGTCTGAGATCTAACCGCAAGACAGCAGCGAGGCTGGGGGAGAGGCGCCCACCATTGCTGAGGCTAAAGTAGGTAAACAAAGCCGACAGGAAGCTCGAACTGGGTGGAGCCCACCACAGCTCAAGGGGGCCTGCCTGTCTCTGTAGACTCCATCTTTGGGGACAGGGCATAGCTAAACAAAAAGCAGCAGAAACCTCGGCAGAGGTAAATGACCCTGTCTGACAGCTTTGAAGAGAGCAGTGGATCTCCCAGCACGGAGGTTGAGATCTGAGAACGGACAGTCTGCCTGCTGAAGTGGGTCCCTGACCCCTGAGTAGCCTAACTGGGAGACATCCCCCACTAGGTGCAGACTGACACCTCACACCTCACATGGTGGGGTACACCCCTGAGACGAAGCTTCCAGAGCAAGAATCAGACAGCAACACTCGTTGTTCAGCAATATTCTATCTTCTGCAGCCTCTGCTGCTGATACCCAGGCAAACAGGGTCTGGAGTGGACCTCAAGCAATCTCCAACAGACCTACAGCTGAGGGTCCTGACTGTTAGAAGGAAAACTAACAAACAGAAAGGACACCCACACCAAAACCCCATCAGTTCATCAAAGTCGTCAAAGACCAAAGGTAGATAAAACCACAAAGATGGGAAAAAAGCAGGGCAGAAAGGCTGGAAATTCAAAAAATCAGAGCGCATCTCCCCTTCCAAAGGAACGCAGCTCATCGCCAGCAACGGGTCAAAGCTGGACGGAGAATGACTTTGATGAGTTGAGAGAAGAAGGCTTCAGTCGATCAAACTTCTCAGAGCTAAAGGAGGAACTGTGTAACCAGCGCAAAGAAACTAAAAATCTTGAAAAAAGAATGAAAGAATGGATAACTAGAATAATCAATGCAGAGAAGGCCATAAACGAACTGACAGAGATAAAAACCATGACACGAGAAATACGTGACAAATGCACAAGCTTCAGTAACCAACTCGATCAACTGGAAGAAAGAGTATCAATGATTGAAGATCAAATGAATGAAACGAAGCGAGAAGAGAAGTCTAGAGAAAAAAGAGGAAAAAGAAATGAACAAAGCCTCTAAGAAATATGGGATTATGTGAAAAGACCAAATCTACATCTGATTGGTGTGCCTGAAAGTGAGGGGGAAAATGGAACCAAGTTGGAAAATACTCTTCAGGATATCTTCCAGGAGAACTTCCCCAACCTAGTAAGGCAGGCCAACATTCAAATTCAGGAAATACAGAGAACGCCACAAAGATACTCCTCAAGAAGAACAACTACAAGACACATAATTGTCAGATACACCAAAGTTGAAACGAAGGAAAAAATGTTAAGGGCAGCCAGAGAGAAAGGTCAGGTTACCCACAAAGGGAAGCCCATCAGACTAACAGCAGATCTCTCGGCAGAAACTCTCCAAGCCAGAAGAGAGTGGGGGCCAATATTCAACATTCTTAAAGAATTTTCAGGCTGGGTGCGGTGGCTTAAGCCTATAATCCCAGTACTTTGGGAGGCCGAGACGGGCGGATCACGAGGTCAGGAGATCGAGACCATCCTGGCTAACACAGTGAAACCCCGTCTCTACTAAAAAATACAAAAAACTAGCCATTTTTCAACCATTGTGGAAAACAGTATGGTGATTCCTCAAGGATCTAGAACTAGAAATACCATATGACCCAGCTATCGCATTACTGGGTATATACCCAAAGGAGTATAAATCATGCTGCTATAAAGACACATGCACACATATGTTTACTGTGGCACTATTCACAATAGCAAAGACTTGGAATCAACCCAAATGTCCATCAGTGACAGACTGGATTAAGAAAATGTGGCACATATACACCATGGAATCCTATGCAGCCATAAAAAAAGGATGAGTTCGTGTCCTTTGTAGGGACATGGGTGCAGCTGGAAACCATCATTCTCAGCAAACTTTCGCAAGAACAGAAAACCAAACACCGCATGTTCTCACTCATAGGTGGGAATTGAACAATGAGATCACTTGGACAAAGTGCTGGGGTTACAGGAGTGAGCCACCACGCCCGGCCAATCTTTTACATTTTTAAAGTTTTATTTTATATTCCAAGATATGGCCTATTTGGGTGAATAGACTTGAAAAAAATGTTCATTCTGTTGTTGCTGTGTGCAGTGTTCTATAAATTTCACATAGCTTTTGTTAATTAATGGTGTTAAGTTCTTCTATATCCTAGCTGACACCAGCTGATTTTCTGTTTGTTCTTTTTTTTTTTCATTTTGTTTTTGCTTTTGAGATGGAGTTTTGTTCTTGTTGAATGTACCTGTTGGCAGATCTGGATTTCAGGCTTTTCCAGTACCCCATCTGGGATATATGGGAACCCAGGAACTCACTATCATATCTTTCCTCAAGCCCCAATATCCCTAGATAGTCTCCCTTCTTTCCACCTTTCAGGGTCTTCCTATGTTTGCTATATTATGTCCAGAGTGGTGTGTGTGTGTGTGTGTGTGTGTGTGTGTTTGGTTTTTTTTGTTTTTTTTTTTGAGACAGAGTCTGGCTCTGTCGCCCAGGCTGGAGTGCAGTGGCCGGATCTCAGCTTACTACAAGCTCCGCCTCCTGGGTTCATGCCATTCTTCTGCCTCAGCCTCCCGAGTAGCTGGGACTACAGGTGCCGCCACCACGCCCGGCTAATTTTTTGTATTTTTTTTTAGTAGAGACGGGGTTTCACTGTGTTGGCCAGGATGGTCTCGATCTGCTGACCTCGTGATCCGCCCGTCTCGGCCTCCCAAAGTGCTGGGATTACAGGCGTGAGCCACTGCACCCGGCCCGTGTGTGTTTTTAAGTGAGAACACTAGCATGCTATAGGGCTATTCCATCTTGGTCTGAACCAGTACTTGGCACCAAGGCTTATTATTTTGTTTTATATTTTTTGAGAAGGAGTCTTGCTCAGTCGCCCAGGCTAGAGTGCAGTGGCGTGATCATGCCTCACTGCAACCTCCGCCTCCTGGGACTACAGGCACCCATCACCATGACTGCCTAATTTTCATATTTTTAGTAGAGACAGGGTTTCACCATGTTGCTCAGGCTGGTCTCGAATTCCTGACCTCAAGTGATCTTCCCGCTTGGCTTCCCCAAGTGCTGGGATTACAGGTGTGAGTCACCACACCTGGCCCCCCATTACTTATTATTCCCCTATACAAATCTATTCTCAAGTTTTTCAATCATTGAGTCCCAAGTGCGTGACCTATCTTTAAGTCACTGTATCTCTTTCAGGAGCACTCTTAATTTAACATCAGGATGTCACAATAAAGTGCTCTTTTTTTTTTTTTTGAGATGGAGTCTTGCTCTGTTGCCCAGGCTAGAGTGCAGTGGTGTGATCTCGGCTCACTGCAAGCTCGGCCTCCCGGGTTCACGCCATTCTCCTGACTCAGCCTCCCGACTAGCTGGGACTACAGGCACTTGCCACCACGTCCGGCTAATTTTTTTGTATTTTTAGTAGAGATGGGGGTTTCACCATGTTAGCCAGGATATCTCCTGACCTCATGATCTGCCTACCTCAGCCTCCCAAAGTGCTGGATTACAAGCGTGAGCCACTGCCCAGCCCTAAAGTGCTCTTTCATGTCTTTAAAATGTGATTTCATTTGAGAAAATATGTTCATAATTTTATAATATCCATGTCTTTCAGATAAATGGCTGTAAGATATAGCGTAAATCAACAGCCCGAGGACAGAGACACAGAAAGGGAATTAATACTGTGCCTTGCAAGGGGAACAATTTCTCTCACTCACCAGTCCCCAGAGGGAGCCTTCTGAGGTAGCAACAATGGTAGCAGCTCTCGGGGTGTTGTACATCAGAGCTAGTTCTCCAAAACTGCCACGGTTGTCATATTGACCAACAGAGCGGGTTTGATTATCTTTTGTTACTAAAATGTCATAAGTTCCCCTAGAAGAATGACAAAAAATAATTTCATTAGTTACTTCTGATAATAAATGCTAAGAACTGGCAGGTACATATAAAAGAAAATGTTGTTTTAAGATATTTCCAAAGGAACTTTGCTAATATATAAAAAACAACATATTTTTGTATTTTGACTTTGTACTGTGTCCTATAACCTTGCTAAACTCATTTATTAATTCTAGTAGCCTTTCTGTGGCATTCTTGGAATTTTCTTTTTTTTTTTTTTTTGAGACGGAGTCTCGCTCTGTCGCCCAGGCTGGAGTGCAGCGGAGGGATCTTGGCTCACTGCAAACTCCAACTCCCGGGTTCACGCCATTCTCATTCTCCGGCCTCAGCCTCCCGAGTAGCTGGGACTACAGGCACCCGCCCCCACGCCTGGCTAATTTTTTTTGTATTTTTAGTAGAGACAGGATTTCACCGTGTTAGCCAGGATGGTCTCGATCTCCTGACCTCGTGATCCATCTGCCTCGGCCTCCCAAAGTGCTGGGATTACAGGTGTGAGCCACTGCACCCGGCCGGAATTTTCTACATAGAGGATCATGTCACCTGAAACAAAGACAATTTTAATACTTCCTTTCCAATCTATATGCCCCTTCCTTTTTTCTTCCTCCCCATCTTTAACTTTAAAAAAAATTATATATATATATACTTTTTGAGACAGGTTCTTGCTCTGTCGCCCAGGCTGGAGTGCGGAGGCACAATCATGGCTCACTGCGGCCCCAAGCAATCCTCTCACCTCAGCCTCCTGAGTAGCTGTGACCACAGATGTGTGCCACCACACCTAATTTTTTTTATTTTTGTAGAGGTGGGGTCTCACTATGTTGCCCAAGCTGGTCTGGAACTCCTGGACTCAAGCAATCCTCCTGTCTCAGCCTCCCAAAGTACTGGGATTAAAGGCATGAACCACCATGCCCAGCCTAATCTTTTTTCTTTTAATAATATATAATATTTTACATAATTTATGGGGTACATGTGAGTGTTTTTTCCATGCATAGAATGGGTGATGATTAAGTCAGGGTAACTGGGGTATCTATCACCTTGGGATATATGTCATTTCTATGTGTTGGTATCATTTCACATCCTCTCTTCTACTAATAGTTCCTCTGAAATATGCAAAATATTGTCACCCAAGTATAGTCACCTTATCATGCTATAAAACATTAGAACTTGCCGGGTGCAATGGCTCACACCTGTAATTTCTGCACTTTAGGAAGCTAAACTGGGAGGGCTGTTTGAGCCCAGGAGTTTGAGACAATCCTGGGCAACGTATGGAGACTTGTCTCCACAAAAAGGGAAAAAAAAAAAAAGACACATTAAAATGTATCTCTTCTATCTAACTGTGTGTTTGTACCCATTAGCCAACTTCTCTTATCCACCCACCACCCTTCTCAGTTTCTGGTATATATAATTGTATTCTCTATGTCTATGGTATCAGTGTTCTTTAGCACTCTCATGTGAGCGAGAACATGTGGTATTTGTCTTCCTGTGCCTATCTAACTTAATATAGCAACCTCCATGTTGCTACAAATGACATGATTTCCTTCTTTTTTATGGTCAAATAGTATTTCATTGTGTATCTATGTCACATTTTTTCTTCCTTCCTTTTTTCCTTGCCTCCCTCCCTCCCTCTCTTCCTTTTCTTTGCCTTATTGCATTGACTATAACCTCCAATACAATATTAAGTGGAAATGGTGAAAGCAAACATTCTTGCCTTATTCTGAGTTGTCAGAAAAAAACAACTTTTCGGCCGGGTGTGGTGACTCACGCCTGTAATCCCAGCACTTTGGGAGGCCAAGACGGGCAGATCACGAGGTCAGATCAAGACCATCCTGGCTAACATGGTGAAACCCCGTCTCTACTAAAAATACAAAAATTAGCTGGGTGTGGTGGTGGGCGCCTGTAGTTCCAGCTACTCAGGAGGCTGAGGCAGGAGAATGGCGTGAACCTGGGAGGCGGAGCTTGCAGTGAGCCAAGATCGCGCCATTGCACTCCAGCTTGGGCGACAGAGCAAGACTCTGTCTCAAAAAACAAAAAAACAAAAGAAAAAAAAAGAAAAACACAATTTTTCACCATTAAATATGATGTTAGCTGTAGGTTTTTAATAAATGCCTTTAGTCTAGTTAGGGAAAGTTATTTTTGTTGCTAGTTTACTGAGCATTTTCATCACAAAAAGATGTTGAGTTTTGTCAAATGCTTTGCTGTAGATATTGAAATTAGTGCATGGGTTTTCTTTCATAGTCTCTTGAAATCAGGATACAACCAATTAAAATAAAGAAAGCAGGTTGGGCGCAGTGGCTCAAGCCTGTAATCCCAGCACTTTGGGTGGCCGAGGTGGGTGGATTACCTGAGGTCAGGAGTTTGAGACCAGCCTGGCCAACCTGGTGAAACCCCATCTCTACTAAAAATACAAAAATTAGCTGGGTGGGTGACGGGTGCCTGTAATCCCAGCTACTCGGGAGGCTGAGGCAGGAGAATCACTTGAAACCAGGAGGTAGAGGGGTGCAGTCAGCCGAGATTACATCATTGCACTCTAGCCTGGGCGACAGAGGCTCTGCCTCAAAAAAAAAAAAAAATGCAAACGATACAATTATTTATCTATTGATTGGCAATAATTGCTAAAAAAACAAAAAATTCAGAACTGACAAGCATTTGCAGAAATAGGCATTTTCAACATACCACTGAGGGAAACATAAACTTTTCAGTTTCTGCAAGATAATTAAAACATATAGCAAATGCCTTAAAAAGACCCTTTGATACAGCAATTCCATTTCTAGTCATTCCAAAAGAGACAATCAAAGATACTGCAAAAGGTTTAATTGCAGGGATTTCACCAGGTAATATTTATAATAGTAAAAACTATAAGTAATTTCATCTGCTAATAATAGGAGATGGGTCAAATACATGTTTCTATCTATATTACAGAGTCATTAAAAATAATGACAGAGGCCAGGTGTGGTGGCTCATGCCTGTATATAAAATAATAATGACAGAGTATGGCTGCACAGTGGCTCACCTGTAGTCCCAGCACCTTGGGAGGCTGAGGCAGACACATCACCTGAGGTCAGGAGTTTGAGACCAGCCTGGCCAACATGGTAAAACTCTGTCTCTACTAAATATACAAAAATTAGCTGGGCATGGTGGCATGTGCCTGTAATCCCAGCTACTCAGGAGGCTGAGGCAGGAGAATCACTTGAACTTGGGAGGCAGAGGTTATAGTGAGCCGAGTTCACACCATTGCACTCCAGCCTGGGCGGCAGAGTGAGACTCTATCTCAAAATAATAATAATAGTAACAGAATAATATTATAATCCCTGACATGCTTAAAACAGATTTTAAAAAATTAAATCACACAACAATGTATGATTTAATATAAAAAAAAAGTATGTAAAGATAACTCCATTAGTCGACTCCATTTTTGATGTTTGATTGTTGACAGCTTTCAAACCCTTCCTCTTCTGCCCCATATCTGGGTAAGCTGACAAGAAAGCCTGGGTGCTCCCTCCTTTGGTGCTGATGGGGAGTTCAATCAACACAAATGCCAGCCCCTGTGTAAGAGTACCCTCACCTAATCTCACCTTCTAACCATCATAAATCCCAAGACAGTCACCTCGCCTGCTATCTAAAGTCATTTTTGGATCTGTCTGGGAGCCTGCCCTGCTCTAAAATGGCTCAACGTGTGAGTAATAAACCTTTTCATACCCTTTTAGTGTATCATCAGTCTTGACATCTTAACCAAATTTTGGGTGAGGTATCTGATCTCAACAGTAAAGCATGGAAAAAATAATGGAATCATATACTGGTAAACAGATTATGCCTAAATTAATTTCTATCCGGTTTGTATTTTATTTATTTACTTTTTTTTTTTGAGTCAGAGTCTTGCCCTGTTGCCCAGGCTGGAGTGCAGTGGCGCAATCTCAGCTCACTACAAGCTCCGCTTCCCGGGTTCACGCCATTCTACTGCCTCAGCCTCCCAAGTAGCTGGGATTACAGGCACCTGCCACCATGCCCGGCTAATTTTTTGTGTTTTTAGTAGAGATGGGGTTTCACTGTGTTAGCCAGGATGGTCTCGATCTCCTGATCTTGTGATCCACCCGCCTCGGCCTTCCGAAGTGCTGGGATTACAAGTGTGAGCCACCGCACCTGGCCTTTTTATTTTTTTATATTCTAAATTTCCTACAAAGAACTTCCATCTGTCTGATAAAATCACTAAATATCACGTATTAAAAGAAAAGCAGAGAATGTGCCACCAACCCTGCTTTCAGGGGAGCTTACCACTCAGTAGGGAAGCTGACCTGTCCTAGGCCTTTATAGACCAGGTAAAATAAGGTTATAAATAGGAAACATGGAATTCAGTGTTTTTAGTGTCTCCTCCAGACACTAGCATTTAACTTTGGGAGTGACACGGACTCATTTCAGGCAGCAGCACTGCAGAGAGCCTCTCTTGACCTTTCCCATTCAGGTCCTCCTCTAAATAACGGGGCCTATGTTTTTATCATTGTTGTTACTACCACATTATGTAATAATTATCTATTGAAAGGTCTGTCTCTCCAACTTGACCATGAACTTTTTGAGGCCAGGAACTGTACCTTTTCACTTGAACGATAGTCTTTCTTTATTGTTTCATAGAGACAGGGGTCTCACTATGTTACCCAGGTTAGTCTCGGACTCCTGACCTCAAGTAATCCATATCGGCCTCCAAAAGTGCTGGGATTACAGGTGTGAGCCACTGTGCTCAGCCCTTTCCTATTTGTTCATCACCACATTATTTTTTCTTTTCTTTTTATTCTGAGACAGGGTCTCATTTTGTTCCCCAGGCTAGAGTGCAGTGTTATGATCACTGCCCACTGGAGACTCAACCTCTTGGGATCTAGTGATCCTCCCACCTCAGCCTTCCAATTAGCTGGGGACTACAGGCATGCACCACCATGCCTGGATAATTTCTTAAAAAATGGTTTTTTGTGCGATTTTGTTTTGTTTTTTTGAGACAGAGTCCCGCTCTGTCACCCAGCCTGGAGTACAGTGGCATGATCTCCGCTCACTGCAACCTCTGCCTCCTGGGTTCAAGTTATTCTCCTGCCTCAGCCTCCCGAGTAGCTGGGACTACAGGTGCATGTCACCATGCTCAGCTAATTTTTTTATTTTTAGTAGAGATGGGGTTTCACCATGTCAGCCAGGATATTCTCGATATCTTGACCTTGTGATCTGCCCACCTCAGCCTCCCAAAGTGCTGGGATTACAGGCGCCCGGTCTGCATTTTTTTTTTTTTTTGAGATGGAATTTCACTATTGTTGCCCAGGCTGGAATGCAATGGCATGATCTCGGCTCACTGCAACCTCCATCTCCCAGGTTGAAGCAATTCTCCTGCCTCAACCTCCCAAGTAGCTGGGATTACAGGTGCCCGCCACCACATCCAGCTAATTTTTTGTATTTTTAGTAGAGATGAGGTTTCGCCATGTTGGCCAAGCTGGTCTCAAACTCCTGACCTCAAGTGCTCTGCCCACCTGGGCCTTCTCAAGTGCTGGCATTACAGGCGTGAGCCACCGTGCCCGGCCTACAAAAATGTTTTGTAGAGATAAGGTTTCACTATCTTGCTCAGGCAATCCTCCCACCTTGGCCTCCCAAAGTGCTGGGATTGCAGGTGTGAATCACTGTGCCAGGCCCTTATTCACCACTTTCACTGTACAAAGAATAATCCCTTTTGTTTACATATGAAATAAATCATTCCCTCTGTACAAAGGCATTTCAGTCTTTAACTTGTGGACATGTACAGGTGGATGCTTATTTCTCAGACCATAGGTGCCCAATGGGACCTCTGTCATGGTGGTGGAGGACATGGCAAGGCAAAGGGGAAAGGTGGCTGCTTGAGGTGGTAATATAATTTTATTATATTATAAAAATAGACCTGGCATGGGGTGGCTCACACCTGTAATCCCAGCACTTTGGGAGGCTGAGGCAGGTGGATCTCTTGAGGTCAGGAGTTCAAGACCAGCCTGGCCAACCCCGTCTCTACTAAAACACAAAAATTAGCTGGGAGTGGTGGCAGGTGCCTGTAATCCCAGCTACTCAGGAGGCTATGGCAGGAGAATCGTTTGAATGCGGGAGGTGGAGGTTGTAGTTAGCCAGGACTGCACCACTACACTCCAGCCTGGGCAACAGAGCAAGACTCTATCTCAAAATAAATAAATAAATAAAATAAAATACATACAGTTTTATATTATATTTATAATTTTATTTTAAAACTATTCTGGGCTGGGTGCGGTGGCTCATGCCCGTAATCCCAGCACTTTGGGAGGCTGAGGTGGGTGGATCACGAGGTCAGGAGATCGAGATCATCGTGGCCAACATGGTGAAACCCTGTCTCTACTAAAAATACAAAAATTAGCTAGGCGTGGTGGCGCACACCTGTAGTACCAGCTACTCAGGATGTTGAGGCAGGAGAATCACTTGAGCCTGGGAGGCGGGGGTTGCAGTGAGCCGAGACCGTGCCACTGCACTCCAGCCTTGCGACAGAGTAAGACTCTGTTCCCCTAAAAAACAAAACAAAACAAGAAAACCTATTCTGTCATTACTTGTAGAATTTCTGTGTAAGAAGTATTAGTATAAAAGATGAAGACAAAAGTCTTTTCTCTGAGAAGATATTATTTATGTCATCTTTACTCTAAATCAGCATTTAGAGTAAAGAAAACATTTCCTTTAAGTGTAATAATTTGTCACAGGTAGCAAGAACCCAAGGGTTACTCAAGGAGGGACAGCATCTTCTGTTCAAGAATCTAAATAAGAAAAGGCTCAAGAAGAAAGGCAACCAATGAATCTAGCACAGCTATTTGATGGAGATTAAAAGAATTTTAAAAATGAGGAGAATTAGAAAAATTTGAATAAGGTGCATATATTATATGTAGTATTGTATAAATGTTAATTTGTGTTTTTTATAATTGTTCTGTACTAAAGTAAGAGAATATCCTTTTTAGGAAATGCACACTGGGGTATTCAGAGATAAACGGGCATTATATCTGCAATTTACTCTCCAACAACTTTTTTTTTGGTGGTGGTGGGACGAAGTCTCACTTTGTCACCCAGGCTGGAGTGCAATGGCACAATCTCAGCTCAAGGCAACCTCTGCCTTGTGGGTTTAAGTGATTCTCCTGCCTCAGCCTCCCAAGTAGCTGGGACCACAGGCGTGCTAATTTTTTTTTTTTTTTTTTTTTTTTTTTTTTCTAGTAGGTCGGAGTTTGCGCCCATCGAACCTGTATTTATAATTTTTTTTTCTTTTTTTTGAGACCGGTCTCACTCTCACCCAGGCTGGAGTGCAGTGGCACTATCTCGGCTCACTGTAACCTCCTCCTCCCAGGTTCAAGCGATTCTCCTGCCTAAGCCTCCCAAGTAGCTGTGATTACAGGCACACACCACCATGTCCAACTAATTTTTGTTTTTGTTTTTGAGACAAAGTTTCATACTGTTGCCCAGGCTGGTGTGCAGTGGGGTGATCTCAGCTTGCTGCAGCCTTTGCCTCCCGGGTTCACACGATTCTCCTGCCTCAGCTTCCTGAGTAGCTGGGACTACAGGCGTGCGCCACCATGCCCAGCTAATTTTTGCATTTTTAGTAGAGATGGGGTTTCACTATGTTGGCCAGGCTGGTCTTGAACTCCTGACCTCGTGATCCACCCGCCTCGGCCTCCCAAAGTGCTGGGATTACAGGCATGAGCCACTGTGCCTGGGCAATTTTTATATATATATTTTTTAGTAGAGATGGACTTTCACCACATTGGCCAGGCTGGTCTCGAACTCCAGACCTCAAATGATCCACCTGCCTCAGCCTCTCAAAGAGCTGGGATTACAGGCATGAGTCACTGCACCAGGCCTGTGATACATTTTTTGTACTATTTGTTTAACTTTTCTGTAACTCTGAAATTACTTCGAGATAAAAAAATTATTTTTGTTTCCTTTTTATTATCTAGCTCCAAAAACCATTTTATTTTTAAATTAATGGAAGATATCAGGTGAAGCAATATCTTATTGATGTTAAACTCTTAATGAGAGTGTTTCTTTCAGGACTAAGGGGATCAGGATACCCACCTCACTGCCACCAGCCAAAGAGGATACTAAGCTCAAGAGGTTAGGACACAGTAAGGTGAGCAGGCCAAGCCCAAATATTTCATTTTTTCCTAATACTTAGATCTGAGCCAGAGGGGTTAAGGTCAGGGCAGCATATTCATGAGTAAAATCAGGCTCGAATATGAAGATTCAAACAACTATAGCACCATGGCTAATTCTTCAGGGAATCAATTCACTTGACACTGGCAAATAACATGTTTATAAAGCACACCCTGCACTCTTTAACTAACTGTAAAGAAGACTTTCTTTTTTTCTTTTTTTTTTTTGAGACGGAGTCTTGCTCTGTTGCCCAGGCTGGAGTGCAGTGGTGGGGTCTCAGCTCACTGCAACAACCTTCACCTCCTGGGTTCAAGCGATTCTCCAGCCTCAGCCTCCCAAGCAGCTGGGATTATAGGCATGCACCGCCACATCCGGCTAATTTTTGTATTTTTAGTAGATACGGGGTTTCACCATATTGGCCAGGCTGGTCTCGAACCCCTCACCTCAAGTAATCCACTGGCCTTGGCCTCCCAAAGTACTGGGATTACAGGCGTGAGCCACTGCACCTGGCCTAAAGGAGACTTTCTACTCTAGATGATTGCTCTTCAAATATGAGTTGTGCTGAGGACTCAGGACAGCACTGGTAGAGAGGGACAAGCTGTGGACTCTCACAAGGCTTTGGGAAGCTTTTTCACTTGGCCCTAAGCCTCTCTGGGCTGAATACAGAATAGGATAAAGCATCTGCACTGATTCATGAATCCGATTAAGTGTGGCCACACAATTTCAAAGCTCCATCTCCTACCGTTCTATGACATAAAAGTTGTCTCCATCATCTCCTTGGTCAATGACATGCTCGTCAGCTTTGACTATCCTTTCAAACATGGCATCAAGAACTTGAGAAAGTTGTTCCTGCAGGGTATGCACAAGAAGGAAAAATAGCCTTACATATGCTGCAAAAAAGCAGTGACCATAATTATCTAAATTTGTGACTATATAACAGAAGTCCCCACATTCAAACAGAAACCTAAAGGTTGTCTGAAACAAATGCTTTCCTGGGACCATTCAGCTTTGCACCTCCATGTACCTCAGCAGACAGTAAATTGGCAAGTCTTCTGAGGCAGTATTGTTTTGAAAAAGCTTCCCACAATTTACGCAAAAATACTGACTATCACCTGCCTGATGGTTCCACTATATCACGTGTAAAGCCATATGCTGCCACCTTCCTACAAGTGTTGATCTTAACAGGATCATCAGATCTAAAGGACTGCTGTGGCTTAGAGATTATCTTCTGGAATAGCACAACTGCTTTTGACTAGCAAAACACGTCACTTAACCTTGCTGAGCTTCAGTATCTTTTTTTTTTCTTTTTTTCTAAAGACAGAGTCTCACTCTGTCGCCCAGGCTGGAGTTCAGTGGTGTGATCTCAGCTCACCACAACCTCTACCTCCTGAGTTCAAGCAATTCTCCTGCCTCAGCTGCCTGAGTAGCTGGGACTACAGGCCTGCACCATCACGCCTGGCTAATTTTTATATTTTTAGTAGAGATGGGGTTTGCCATGTTCGCCAGGCAGGTCTCAAACTCCTGACCTCATGTGATCCGCCCACCTTGGCTTCCCAAAGTGCTAGAATTACAGGCGTGAGCCACCACGCCCAGTGAACTTCAGTTTCAAAAAGGGTATAACAAAGATTCCAGGTCATCAATTTTTATGACCAAAGGAGAAAAACCTAGGAAGTATTTACGAAACAACAGATACTCAATAAATGAGATCTATTATAAGACAGCTAATATTGCTTCATTTGCATACAGCACATACAATTACTTACTACTATTGCCTGCCATAACCAGACATCAACTATGTCAATAAGTATAATGAAAAGAAAATAATACTATTAAATTCTATGAAACAATGGTCTCAGTCTAGGGCCAGCATCCCTATCAGACAGGGAGATCAGTGATTATTAGGGAATCACTAAAGAATACCAGGTTCAATTAAAAAAAGAGACTTTCTCTTTGGAGGAATGTAGACTGAAGACCTGGAAAAAGAATAATTTTATGACTGCATAATTCCAGGTGAGTTTATGTTCTATCAGAGGGACTGTACTACTACGATAATTGAGTATCACCAAAAAGTGTATTCAGTTCCATGTGTGTTGAATACTGTACAAGCTGACAAATACTAAAAAGGATGGCTTGCAACTGACGTGTTACTCACATTCACTGGAATGTGAGCCCAGCGTTGCCAGAAATCTCCTATTTAAATACTAGCAATAAATTTAAATTTTCATGTACAATACAGAACAAACACAGACATCTGTACCTAGCCTGTGGATTGCCTGCTGGAAGCCTCTTGTTCTGTGTCACTTTTCTTCTTCTAGTCTGTACTCTTCAAATACATGTGTCATGAGATATAGAATAAAAGGGGTGGAAGGGGAGCATTTCTAGGTTAGAGGAGACTAAAATAACAACATGACAACCAAACGAAACACAGTAAGTCCTCACTTAAAGTGGTTGATAGGTTCTTGAAAACTGTGACTATAAGCAAAACAATGTATAGAAGGTCCTCAAATAACACAGTTATAACACTGATGAGGGAAAAAAAAAAAGGTTCCATTATAGGTTGTTTTGCTTAAAGTTAGTTTCCAAGACTACCAACAATGTTGAAGTACCTACTGCATGTGATTCAGAGATGGTCATCTATGAACCAGGAAGTGGGTTTCTGGTCAGACACCAAATCTGCTGGCACCTTGAGCTTGGATTTCCCAGACTCCAGAACTGTGAGAAATTTCCACTGTTTATAAACTACCCAGGTTATGGTATTTTGTTATAGCAGCCCAAATGTACTAGGACACCCACCAGGAGATAGCCCTTGTTCTTTATTTCTACCACCAAGAGAGGGAGGACAGGCCCAGGTCACAGATCCTATGCTAGGCCCTGCAGAAACACACCATTCTCAAGAAGCACTTACCATATACTGTGGTAAGCCAGTGGGTTAACTATTATCAATGAAGGAAACTACATACCAGCATCTTCAGAAAAATCAATCTCTTTGTAGGATAAATTCAGACCTCCAAACTAAACCAGGGTCATGCAAATCTGAGCATTTCCTTGCAACATGACAAAATTGCATGCTCTTCAAATTATCAGTTTTGTCTTGGAGAAAGTGCCAAAGCAGCTCAGAAAAATACAGCAGTCCTCCCCTTATCCATGGGGAATATGTTCCAAGGGGATAATGTGGATGTCTGAAACCACAGATAGTGTTGAAGCCCATTGCTGTCAATTGGAAAACATTTCTGTTTGTATCTTCCATCCACAAATGTAATGCCTCTTCCATCTTAACCAAATACTTAACACGCACTGTGGCTGTAAATTGTGCAGTTTGAGGTGCGACAGCAAAACTAGCAGAAATTTCTTTTTCTTTCTTCACAGTTTTACAGATAGAAGATTCATTCTTATATTTTCTTTTTTTTTTTTTTTTTGATTTTGAGATGGAGTCTTGCTCTGTCACCCAGACTGGAGTGCAATGGTGTGATCTCAGCTCACTGCAACCTCCGCCTCCTGGATTCAAGCAGTTCTCCTGCCTCAGCCTCCTGAGTAGCTGGGATTACAGGTGCACACTACCACACCTGGCTAATTTTTGTATTTTTAGTAGAGACGGAATTTCACTATGTTGGCCAGGCTGGTCTTGAACTCCACCCACCTCAGACTCTCAGAGTGTTAGGATTACAGGCATGAGCCACCGCACTCAGCCAGAAGATTCATTCTTACCACAGATCTCTGTAACCTTGGTATACAATTTCTTTCTCCCACCCTCCCTCTCTCCCTTCCTTTCTTCCTTCCTTTTCTTTCTTTCTCTCTTCCTTTCTCTCTCTCCCTCTTTCTATCTCACCCTTTCTTTTCTTTCTTTTCTCTCTCTATTCTTTCCTTAAATTTCTCTCATCTTTTCACTTAAAGGAAGCATTTTATGGCTTCTTTTTGGCATATTCGAATTGCCAGCATTGTTTCTCTTGTGCTTTGGGGCATTAAGTAAAATAAGGGTTACGTGAATATGAGTACTGCTAGATGGTGACTAAGTGACTAATGGGCAGGTGGCATATATGGCATGAATACACTGGGATAAAGTGATGATTTGTGTTCTAGGTGGCAGCAGAGCAGGACAGCATGAGATTCATCACACTACTCGGAACGGCATGCCTTTTAAAACTTAGGAATTATTTCTGGAATTCTCCATTTAGTATTTTTGGGCTGTTGTTGACTATGGGTAACTGAAACCCTGGAAAGCAAAAACCAAGGATAAGGGGGACTACTGCACTAAAAGGCATCTGAAAGATCATGTCTGGGTTAAAGTGGTCAATACAACGAAAACATTTGTATGTAAGATGAATCTAAGGTTTATGCTTAATACGGCTATGGTTAGGATGCTAAAAATTAAAGTTTAAGTGACAAATAGGAGCAAAGCTAAAAGATCATTATAATAAAAATACTTTAGAAATCAATGTTACCTGATCGAGATTTTTGAAAAGGAGAATATCTTTGCAAGCTTCCTGAAGTCTGCATCTCTGTTCATCAGTTTTAGGATGAATCACCTGCCAATCCAAATAAAACCATGGAAATTGTTTTATTCCATTTTAACATAAACCACTTAAAGACTGGTATATTTCTTTCTCCAAAAAGTGGGAAAAATAAAGAGCATGGTTTCTGTAATTTTAATTTTACATAAATATCAAGCTGCATGCTGAAGGTGGAGGGGCAATGTAATATAGAGGTGAAAAGCACCAGCCCTGAAGCCACCTGCTGACTACGTGGCTGGCAGCAAGTGAGCTGTCCCCTGGGAGCCTCAGGATCTTCATCCATAAAGCAGAAGATTATAAATTTGTTCATTAAACAAATATTGAGCATCTACTCAAAAAAAAAAAAAAAGGTACATCATTTAATCTGACCAGAAATAATAGGTATTAAAAGTGTTGGCCAGGCGAGGTGGCTCATGCCTGTAATCTCAACACTTTGGGAGGCCAAGGCAGGCGGATCACGATGTCAGGAGATCGAGACCATCCTGGCCAACATAGTGAAACTCCGTCTCTACTAAAAATAGAAAACTTAGCTGGGCATGGTGGCGCATGCCTGTAATCCCAGCTACTCGGGAGGCTGAGGTAGGAGAATCGGTTGAACCGGGGAATCAGAGGAGGTTGCAGTGAGCCAAGATCGCACCACTGCACTCTAGCCTGGTGACAGAGCAAGATTCCATCTCAAAAAAAAAAAGGCTGGGCATGGTGGCTCGCTCCTATAATCCCAGGCAATCCCAGCACTTTGGGAGGCCGAGGCGGGCAGATCACGAGGTCAGGAGTTCGAAACCAGACTGACCAACATGGAGAAACCCATCTCTACTAAAAATACAAAATTAGCAAGGCGTAGTGGCGCATGCCTGTAATTCCAGCTACCTGGGAGGCTGAGGCAGGAGAATCGCTTGAACCCAGGAGGCAGAGGTTGCAGTGAGCCAAGATCACACCATTGTACTCCAGCCTGGGCAACAAGAGCGAAACTCTGTCTCAAAAAACAAAAAAAAAGTGTTAAGTATTTTAAATTTGTGATATTAAATTAGAAAAAACTGTTTTAGTCATCAATAATTTTACAATAGCTAGAACAAAAAATTTAACCTACAGGATTTTTACATTCACAAAAATGGTAGCATTTATTAGAATATTTCAGAAATCTTTCATAAGTTACTCATTTTAAGGGTAACTTGATTTAAGGGTAACATAATGGATCACTAAAGCTTTTTTTTTTTTCTTGGAGACAGTGTCTCGCTCTGTCGCCCAGGTTGGAGTGCAGTGGCGTGATTTTGGGTAACTACAACCTCCGCCTCCCAGGTTCAAGTGATTCTCCTGCCTCAGCCTCCTGAGTAGCTGGGATTACAGGTGGGCACCACCACGCCTGGCTAATTTTTGTATTTTTAGTAGAGATGGGGTTTCACCATATTGGTCAGGCTGGTTTCGAACTCCTGACCTTGTGATCCATCTGCCTCAGCCTCCCAAAGTGCTGGGAGTACAGGTATGAGCCACCGTGCCTGGCCCACTAAAGGTTTTTATAACAGCAATCTTTTTTTTTTTTTTTTTTTTTCAGATGGAGTCTCACTCTGTCACCCAGGCTGGAGTGCAGTGGTGTGATCTGATCACCACAACCTTGGCCTCCCGGGTTCAAGCAATTCTCCTGCCTCAGCCTCCTGAGTAGCTGGGATTATAGGCGCCCACCACCACACCCAACTAATTTTTGTATTTTAGTAGAGATGAGGTTTCACCAGGTTAGCCAGGATGGTCTCGAACTTCTGACAGGTGATCCACCCACCTTGGCCTCCCAAAGTGCTGGGATTACAGGCCTGAGTTACCACACCCAGTCTATAATATCAATCTTTTAAAAATCATAGTTCATACATGCTCTCATAAAAGTAATTTATGTCGGGAGACTGAGGCAGGAGAATCACTTGAACCCAGGAGGCGGAAGTTGCAATGAGCCGAATTCGCATCACTGCACTCCAGCCTAGGTGACAGTGCAAGACTCCATCTCAAAAAAACATAAACAAAAAACAAAAACAAACAAAAAATAATTTACCTCAATTGTACAGAAGTTTAAAAAACTATTTTTTTTTAAAAAAGCACCCAAAAATCAAACATGGTTTTGCCACAACCACTATTAACATCTGGGGTATATCCTTCCAGATAGAATTTTCTATACATACATATATACAAATAAATATATATATTTCAAATTTTTTAATTTACAAAATCTCTATATATAATTTCAAATTTTTTAATTTATAAAATGCTCTATAAAATGCACCTCACACAAACATACATCCCATGCCATTACATACAGTCCTGTACCATCACTTTCAATGGCTACAGATTCTCTCCATTTGAATGTACTATAATTTAGCCCCTGGTAATCCCATATTTTGGGTCATTTAGGTTGTTTCCATTTTTCATTGTTATAACACTACGATGAACTCCATTTGTACATTCTCAGGAAGGATCCAACTTTCATTAGGGATGAATTCTCCTTTAGGTAAATGCTAAATCAATTGGCCTGGCTCTAAGTATTTAAGGCTTGTTGTTAATTTTTTTTTTTTTTTTTAAATGAGATGAGGTCTAACTACATTGCCCAGGCTAGTCTCAAACTCCTGGGATTCAAGTGATCTTCCCACCTCAACCTCCCAAAGCACTGGGATTACAGGTGTGAGCCACCATGCCCAGCAGTTGTTTTTTTTTTTTCTTTTCAGCCTCGACCTCCTAGACTCAAGCAGCAATCCCCCTGCCTCAGGCTCCTAAGTAGCTGTGAATACAGGCACATGTCACCAAACCAGCTAATTTTTTTTTTTTTTCCCAGAGATGGGGGTCTTGCTATATTGTGCAGGCTGGTCTTGAACTCCTGGCCTCAAGCAATCCTCCTGCCTCAGCCTCTCAAAGTGTTTGCATTATAGGTGTGAGCCACCATGCACAGCCTGTTTAAGGCTTCTGACAGCTACAGCTAGGCACTTCTCACCATACCCTCAACCAGTGCAGCTTTCAATTTGTTAGATTGAAAAAGTCACTTCATTGATATTTTAATTTGTATTTAATGATTAGTATGATGAGTTTTTGGTATGTAGAGAAGGGGAGTTAATGAGAAATACAATTCTACCTAACATCTTTGCTTGGGTCTTACCCTTGGATCTGTATCTTCCTCTTCCTCATCAGGGTTATAGGTCTCAGCACAGACTAAAATTGGAGAGAAAAAAACAAAGAATGAATTTAACAGACGTGTGGCTTTAGGAAAAGTAGGAAGTAAACTCAATTATCTTTTATTCACTGTTTTCTTTCTTTTTTTTAGAGACAGAGTTTTGCTCTTGTTGCCCAAGCTAGAATACAGTGGCACAATCTTGGCTCTCTGCAACCTCCATCTCCCAGGTTCAAGCGATTCTCTTGCCTCAGCTTCCCAGGTAGCTGGGATTACAGGCGCTGCACCACCATGCCCAGTTAATTTTGTATTTTCAGTAGGGATGGAGTTTCACCATGTTGGTCAGGCTGCTCTCGAGCTCCTGACATCAGGTGATCCACCTGATGTATAACACAAATGCTCACGCTTGTAATCTCAGCACTACAAGGCATGGAGGCTGTAATGCTGGGAGGCTGAGGTGGACAGATCACGAGGTCAAGAGATCGAGACCATCCTAGCCAACATGGTGAAACCCCATCTCTACTAAAAATACAAAAATTAGCTGGGCATGGTGGCGTGTGCCTGTAGTCCCAGCTACTCGGGAGGCTGAGACAGGAGAAGCGCTTGAACTTGGGAGACAGAGGTTGCGGTGAGCCGAGATCATGCCACTGCACTCCAGCCTGGTTGACAGAATGAGACTCCGTCTCAAAAAAAATAGAGAGAGAGTAAGTTGTGTGAGACATAAAGGGAAAAAAGGCAAGGTGAAGAAGAGTATATATGGCATGCTATCTCTTGCAGAAGAAAGGACTTCCATGAGAAAGGAGAGCTAAGAATGGAGGGAAAATAAATATACTTTTACCAGTTAATTTTTCCAAAATGAAACAATTGGGGAAGAATAAACCGGAAAGTAATGAAATTATTGTCCTAGTGTATAGATAGAAACAGGAAAGAAGGGATAGGGAAAGGAATGAAACTTCTCTGAGGAAACGTTTGTTTGTTTTTGAGACGGAGTCTTGCTCTGTCACCTAGGCTGGAGTACAGTGATGTGATCTCCGCTCACTGCAAGCTCTGCCTCCCGGGTTCACACCATTCTCCTGCCTCAGCCTCCCAAGTAGCTGGGACTACAGGCGCCTGCCACCACATCCAGCTAATTTTTTGTATTTTTAGTAGAGAAGGGGTTTCACCGTGTTAGCCTGGATGATCTCGATCTCCTAACCTCAACTGCCCACCTCAGCCTCCCAAAGTGCTGGGATTACAGGCATGAGGCACCGTGACTGACCTGAGGAAACATTTTTATACAAAAAGTTTTGACATTTAAGCCATGTTAATTTTTCACATATTTTAAAAATTAAATAGATAACAAGGACCCTAAAACTGTACAAAGAATAAAAACCTACCCATGTATCAGGGTGATAACACAATTAGAGAAGGAAAGAATCAGATTCTAAGTAGCTTCTGAACATAGTACTCTGACCATCCACCCTCAGTGGGATATACTGCATTCCAACAAAAAACAATTGATGTTGGTGATGGTATAGCAATTCCAAAACTCTTCTTCAGAGAGTCTTGCTCTTTCACCCAGGTTGGAGTACAGTGGCGCAATCTTGGCCCACTGCAATCTCCACCTCCCTGTTTCGAGTGATTCTCCTGCCTTAGCCTTCTTAGTAGCTAGGTCTAGAGGCACGTGCCACCAGACCCAGCTAATTTTTGTAGTTTTAGTAGAGATGGGGTTTCACCATGTTGGCCAGGATGATCTCAATCTCGTGACCTTGTGATCCGCCTGCCTTGGCCTCCCAAAGTGCTGGGATTACAGGTGTGAGCCACCGCGCCCAGCCTTTAATTCCAAAACTCTTCTATGTGTATTACTGTAGTGAGTAAATAAACAAACACACAGACATTTCTTACTGGTGAGAAGGGGGATACAAATATGGACTGGAGGAAGAATTAGAAATGGAGATATCAATACAAAGCATTTTAAAATCTCACCCCTATATGTTATTTGCAAAGAGACAATAAATTATCTACTGAATAAAGAGTTTTGTACTTACTAACAAAACTGTTGTTACCAAGAATGAACTAGTTGTGATTACTGATGTTTCTCAGAATGCAGCAAACCTACTCCCTCTTCACAATACAGGCCATTACAGCTGGGAAAAGTTTTATTCTAATAAATCATCAATGATCTGTAACAGCTGTGTGACTAGAGGTAATTTATTGCCTATCTCCACCCTTCCTCTGCATAATGGCACAAACAGCAGTGACTTCTCTCTAAAGACTGTCATAAGAATTCAAGTAGACAGGTGTCAGGCACGGTAAGGAGGCAACTTGAACTATTACCATTATTATCTTGGTTCCATTTGTTCTGGGTTTCTGGAGAATTATTGTTATGTTGGTTCTGTTCTCTATTTCAGCTCCTTTAACAACTGTCCTTTCTTCCAGGCTAACCTCCATCACATATTTCTACCCTTACAACTTTGCTCTTTTTGCTTTCTCTATGGTTTCCCCCAGACCCCTCCTAAGACAGAGCTTTATACTGTCATCCAGGCTGTAGCACAGTGGTGTGATCTTGGCTCACCGCAACCTCCACCTCCCAGGTTCAAGCGATTCTCCTGCTTCAGCCTCCCAGGTAGCTGGGATTACAAGTGCTAATTTTTGTATTTTTAGTAGAGACTTTTTTTTTTTTTTTTTTTTGCCATGTTGGCCAGGCTGGTCTTAAACTCGTGATCTCAAGTGATCTACCCATCTCGGCCTCCCAAAGTGCTGAGATTACAGGTATGAGCCACCGCGCCAGGCCAACTCTTTTTATGTATTTAATTCTTGCTCATTGTTTTTAGTTTCCTTATAATCTTATCATACCCATTTTCTGTTTCATCTCAGCCAATTTTATCTTTGGCTTTTTGCTCAGAATTCATAAGTGCAATGATTTCTTGTACTTTACTGAGCATTTTGTAGTGGACCTTTCTAGTCTTCACTCCTCTTATATCCTTAACCAGCTGAGTTCACTCATAGGCCCTGTATTGTTTATTAGGATTTATTTATCATCTGTTAACAGGCAACAAACAGTTCTTGACCCTACTCTCAATCTGTGTGACGGCTAAAAGACTCCATGTATCTACAACTATGGGACAGGCCGATACATACCACTCCCAATTATTTATTTTTATTTATTATTATTATTATTATTACTGAGACAGAGTCTCCCTGTCTTGCCTAGGCTGTAGCGCAGTTGACATGATCTCAGCTCACTGCAAACTCTGCCTCCCAGGTTCAAGTGATTCTTCTGCCTCAGCCTCCTGAGTAACTGGGGCTACAGGTGCACGCCACCACACCCAGCTAATTTTTATATTTTTCGTGGAGATGGGGTTTCACCATGTTGGCCAGGCTGGTCTTGAACTCCTGACCTCAAGTGATCCACCGCGCCCAGCCCCACTCCCAGTTATTTCCCAGTTTCTTAGAGACACTTACTCACTGCAGTCCTGGTCTAGCTACACCCCAACTTCCTTTTCCTCACCGATTCTCTAAACCAATAAAAGATCTGAGAAATGACGGCTTCCATTGTGTCCTATACCCAGGACTCTCCCATCCCTGTCTTAGCAGATAATACTCGACTTGTGTGGCCCATGCCACTCGTGCAGTAATGCCATCAATACCAAGTGCCCAACAGGGACCTTGTATCCTAAAACAGATAAGAGAAAAATTAGGGCAGATAGAGTAACAAAAGATACATCACTCTAGTCCCTGAAATAGCATTAGGTGATGCTCTGCAGAGGGCTGCCCAGTTTCTGGCTAGTGTGGGCCTTGGTTTACTGAGCCAGGAAAGTAACAGTGGGATATAGGTAATGACTCACTACTTTTCTCCAAGCATTTTTGTTTCCAGATGAGGCCAGGGTGCATTATCTCAGTTCTTCCCTAAGGATTAAGACAGACACCTATCTTAGTTCCTAGACGTTTCTTTTTTTTCTTTCTTTTTTTTTTTTTGAGACACAGTTTTGCTCTTACTGCCCAGTCTGGAGTGCAATGGCATGATCTCGGCTCACTGCAACCTCCTCCTCCCAAGTTCAAGCAGTTCTCCTGCCTCAGCCTCCTGAGTAGCTGGGATTACAGGCACCGGCCACTGTGCCCAGCTAATTTTTGTATTTTTAGTAGAGATGGAGTTTCACCATATTGGCCAGGCTGGTCTTGAACTCCTGACTTCAGGTGATCCACCGGCCTCAGTCTCCCAAAGTGCTGGGATTACAGGTGTGAGCCACCATGCCCAGCCTCCTAGATATTTCTGTTGTCACTTTTTGCATCATCATGAGTATTCTGGTAGGAAACTGGGGAAACTGCATCAAGGGCATCTAACCAGACACTGTGTCAAACTTCAAGTTTCTTGGTTCTCTGTGCTCTTGATTAATGCCATTACAGACTAGTTTTCTAAACTAGAAATTTAGAATTCATCAGACTTTCTTCTCTCACCTCTTGTCCAATGAATACATCAAATTCTGCTTCAGAAATATTATCGTATTTGGCCTTATTTAATTCAGTGTATTCCAATTGCTACTCCTTGGTCTAAGAGTTCAAAACAACTACTTAGAATAATACATTAAAAAAAAAAAACTTCATTTCAGGAAATAAATGGGTACATGGATATTATACTAACTTTCTCTACTTTTGTGCATGAAATCTTCCTTTTATAAATTAATTAATTTTTTTTTTTTGAGACAGAGTCTCACACTCTGTTACCTATGGTGGTGTGCAGTGGCACAATCTCGGCTCACTGTAACCTCAGTCTCCTGGATTCAGGTGATTCTTGTGCCTCAGCCTCCTGAGTAGCTGGAATTACAGGCGCACACCACCACGCCCAGCTAATTTTTGCATTTTTAGTAGAGATGGGGTTTCATCGTGTTGGCCAGGCTGGTCTCAAACTCCTGGCCTCAAGTGATCCGCCCACCTCAGCCTCCCAAAGTGCTGGAATTACAGGCCTGAGCCACTGCACCCAGCCCTTTTGTGTATGAAATCTTTCATACACATATTTCATTGAAAAGTTGAAAAAAATAAGCTTTCAGTGATGAGACTGATA